GGGACGAATAACGGGTACCCATACTACCCATAAATACCCAAAGTTTGAATCAATAAAATTTTAACAAAAGTTTAAACTTAACTTGTACTTGCTTAACAATCACAAAATCCATCCCAAATTCCCAATCACACCATCACAAATACTAGATTTGCAAAGTACACATTCATAAAAAAACACAACGCATAGAAATAACATTCCAAGCACCCACAACAACTAAAATAGTTGTTGGCTGCTACTGTTCTGCTTAAAATTAAAAGCTCCATTAGAAACCCAAATGAACAGAGGCTGGCTGGTAGGGGTGGCTTCTGTAAATAGATAGAGGTTGGAAATTAGAAACCTCTTCGAATATTCTCATAAAATTGAAACTAGCACAACAAAACAAATAACAATCAAGGTATTCTGAAGCAAATTGAAAATAACACTAAATTAAGCGTAGCAAAGATAAACCCACTGTCAATGCTATTCTAAAGCAAATTGAACGATCTGGTATAAGCCTTCTCCGGCAATCCGCTCAGCTTTGTTGTTGCCCGTCTATCGAATATCACTTGAAACCTGCCCCACTCAAATTTCTCAGTCCATCAAAATCAAGGTAAATAAGCTACGTGAACGTGATCAGTCATAGCCGTCACTTGAGGGCTACGACGAATCGGCGATTGGAATTGGAACAGTGACTGTTGCTGGCTGATGAGAGCGACGGTGGTTGCGGCTGGCTGCTGAGTGCTACGGTGACTGCCGATGGCTGCTCGGTGGCGGTGCGCCTGCCTGTCGAGGAGAGGTTGACTGGTCGAGTGGAGGAGTTTGGGAAGCAGGGAAGGGTTTGAGAATCAGGCGAATAGGAAGCGCAGCGCTGGGCCAAATGTGAATGGCCGAAGAAAGGGTTCTGGCAGGGATGGGCGCCTGGGCCTGAAGGAAGATGGGAATGGCTTTTAGTTCAACCTGTGTAATTTTTAACACTATGTTTCCCAAGCGAGAGAGGAATAGGAGGGGAGGTGAAGGAAAATTAGTAGGGGAGGGGAGAATTGGAGGTGAGGGAAATTGGAGGGAATTGGAAAAAAAATGTTGTTGTATGGAGGAAAGTGGAGGAAAAGGTAAGAGATAAAAAGTAAATTGGGAAGAGTGATAGATATTTATTTTTATTGATGATGTAAGAGTTAAATAATTAACTTGTGTTTATACCATGGTAAAGGAAACTGTACCGGAAGTCATACCGGCTCCGCCAGTGGTAGGGTATTTTGTGGTACTACCGTGGTTCAATCGTTGTGTACCGGCAAAATACCGTTTTTGTAAATAAATAATATTTTTTTGTGAAAAAACCGTACCGGCGGATTTGTGATACCGTTTCGGAATAATACCGGAATATACCGGATAACAAACCTGAATAAACTAAACCAGCTAGATGTTTTTTCATTCTAGTGATTCCTCCGCCTCTAAATTCTTTTTGACAATAGAGACAAGTGAGTACCTCCGCTTTTCCATCCTGATGCAAGGAACAATGAGCCCAAGTTGGATCACTTTTGCTTCGTACACCCTTTGCGGTAACCTTCGGATTACTAGTAGTTGCTCCTTTATCAACTGATCCGGCTTCTTTTCCACTAGCCATTGCTGTCAAAACAGCCAAAATTCTCATTAGAATAAAGGGTTAGAAGAACCAATATTAGTTAGAGAACCAATAAATGAAGCAGATCAATGAGATGAAAACGCTTGTCATCATTATGATTAGCTAGCATATAAAAAGACAATCATCCGTACTAGCAAACACAGACAAGGTTGGATTGCACGCAAGCAGGACAAAATTGAAAACTGAGAGAGGTAATTTTTAGAAGAAAAGGCTTCGAGATAGCAGGACATGGAAGGGGACGTGATTATTGGACAACATTAACACTCTAAGTAGGCAAGTCCAAGCTGTGACACAAAAGATGATCAAGAGCTCTCGGACTCGGGGTGTACACTTTTGAAACAGAAAGATCATTACTCGAAAAGATGTTATCTAGAATTGCAATGAAGAGAGAAGCTCAAATCCAAAACAACAAGTCAATCCTTGTATCTCAATATCAATATCTAGAAACATACGACTGTAATGAAAAGATCCACAAAATATGCTTTCAAGACGAGTAGCCAGCCTAATGAAAAGACAACGGCTTTTTAGCATGGAGATCTCTAGTTCGGATCCCATTACTTCATTGTGGAGAATCATCAACCACAACTATCATTACAACTTTCGCATGCAAGAAAGGTTGGGTGGGATGTGAGAAATAGATCAGTAGCAGATATTATATCGTGGCAGAAGCTAATTCAATTAACCTGATCAAATGTAAGAGAAGATGGAGATAGGATAGCCATACCTGCTGCCGCCGTGTTCTTCTTGAGCAGGGGAGGGACTAGGGAGACGCGTGCCGGTGCCGGAGACGCGTGCCAGAGCAGCGGCGGAGTAGTGGCGGAATAGAGGCGGAGCAGCCTGGAGCAGAGAAACCGCAGAGCAGCGCGAAGCAGCCGCTGCCCTGGTCGCCGGTCGTTTTCTTCTTGAGCCGGTGCCGGAGACGATCGCCGGTCGTCGAGCAGAGGAGGGAGGACCGCCGGTTGTCGAGCAGAGGAGGCAGGGTCGCCGGTCGTCGAGCAGAGGAGGGAGGGTCGCCTTCTCGAATAGAAGAGGATTCGCGTGGCAGCGGCAGCAAACGAAGCGATGATTTAGGGTTTTGATTTTAGGCTTCGGCCGATTCCTTTTTTTTTTCCTAATGCAAAATGACGTTGTTTCCTCTTTATCAGCTCACCCCCGGTTAGACCAAAACCGGGCGGTTTTTTGAGTTGAACCGGTTGTGCCGGTAAAACCGGCCGGAATGGCTCTTTCCCCACAAACAGTCTATCGTATCGGCTAGGCACTGATTTCCGGTTTTACCGGTTCAACCGGTCGGTACGATCCGGTTTCCTTTACCATGGTTTATACTAGAATGGAGGAAAGATGGGAGAAGGCAAATAAATAAATAAAAGAATTTTGTTGGTTAATTTTTGTTTTCTCTCCAAAATGGAGGGTAGGATTACACAGTAACATGTCCTCCACTTTCCTTCACCTTGTCACTATTACTAATTTCGGAAACTGTGGAAAGTTTCTTGGAGATGGTGCTTTCCTTCCTTTTCTTTCCCTCCCCTCCTTTTCTTTCCCACATGAACACATTGTAAAGGGTTAATACCTTTTTTTGTCCGAACTATGACCATATAATCAACTTTGGCCCGTGGGTTCAGAAATTAACATTCCGGCCTCAACTATGCAACATATAGACTCAATTGGCCCGACACATGGTTTGACCGTCAATTTGGATGGTCAACACCGTTGACTGTTAGTCAACACGCCATGTCATTGCCTCGTCAATCTAAAAATTATTAAAAAAATCAAATTCAAATTATTTTCCTAATTTCTATTATTTATCATTTTCAAATTAACCAAAAAATATAAAATTCAAATTATTTTCCTAATTTCTATTATTTACTCCCTATAGTCTTTGGGTTCTCCCTGCCCCTACTCGATTTGCATCCTGGATGAGCATCAAGACGGACCTGCTTCCATAGTGCAGGGTAGGCTGACAGCAGTGATTTGCTGCTTGCAGTGAGTGTCAGTGTGGATTCAATATCCCAAGCCCCATTCCCCAATTGATTAGTCACTCAGAGAAAGGTAGCGAAGCGCCGACTCCCAATTATAGCCTCAAGAGAAGTGGGGAAATGAGAGGTTATCAATATGCTCGACTGAAAGGAGAGGAAGAAAGTCACTTGATCGATAGGGAGAGGGACGAAGTTGCTCGACTGAAAGGAGAGGAAGAAAGTCACTCGACCGATAGGGAGAGGTTAGAGCTCGAACAAAGTGAGAGGAACGAAGCGACATCGATTACGGCATTTACCAAACCAATTGCCATTAAGTCATTTGAACCTACTTTCAGAAAATCATCAGCAATGGATGAGCCGGCAGCATGCAAGCTCAAAGGAAAAAGCGGGGTTTCAAACCTCATACCAAGAGAAAGATTCCAAACAAGTACAAAAAAGACAGCGAAAGAAGTAGATTTCGAACCAGCATACGCAAAGCAAAGAGCGGAAAGGTGCTTTCTCACTTCGCTAAGCAGCAATAATTGTAGTGAAGCTCTCATCCTCTGGCAAAAGCTTTACTTTCTTACTTCAATCGCGCTTAACCCGGATGGTCTCATTCCAGTTTCACTTCTATGCCTAAAAGAAAGGCGCTATTCTCGATAGTTCTTCTTGCTTCAGTAAATTGTTTTGAAAAGCTATAAAAGAACAAGAAGTTGTTTTTTACACAGAATGAGGAAAGGCGCAACCGCTCAGACATCCATCCCCCAGACAAGTCCAAGGTGCTAATTGAATTGGGTGAGCCCGAAGGTTTAGAATATGTTCGACCGTAGGGAGAAGGTGCGAAGTTGCTCGACTGAAAGGAGAGGAAGGGAATATATGAGCCCGAAGGGCGAAGGGAGAAGGAAGAAAGCGACTCAACTCCGAATAAGGAGAATCGAGGAGAGATAGGCCGAATGAGGTCAAGAGATTGACTGAAATTAGGTTCTTCTCTAAACGGGAAAGAAAAGGCAGAATGAACCCTGAAAGATGTTCTACCTTACCTTTCATGAATGGCATTTCCCGATGGTTGCCCAGAGCAGAGGTTTATGGCTGCACATCATCTAATCAATTCCCCTTCATAGTGAATCTATCCTCCTTCCTCAAGACTCACAGCTGATACGAAAGCAGCGGGATATTTGGAAAATGATAAATTTTATAAATTAACCAAAAATTATCAAATTAAATTTAAAAAATATGATATAAATTATATATTTTATTTTTGGGTAATGTTAAATATATAAAATAATTTGATAGTTTTTGGTTAATTTATAAAATTTATCATTTTCAAATTACACAAAAAATAAAAAAAATTAATTTATTTTATGTTTTTTATAAATTATTTTTTTGTTAATTTGATTATAAATAATAAAAACTAAAAAATTGTTGAATTTGAATTTTTTAATGAATTATAGTCTGACGATGCAATGACATGGCGTGTTTACTAACGGTCAATGGTGTTGACCATCCAAATTGACAGTCAAACTAGGTGTCGGGCCAATTAAGTTTATATGTTACTGTTACATAGTTGAGGCCAGGATGTTAATTTCAGAAACCACGAGCCAAAGTTGATTATATGGTCATAGTTCAGGCCAAAATAAGGTATTAACCCATTTTTAAATGGGTAAAACGGATATTTGCAGGTAACTCGCGGGTACCCTGGGAATGTACAATCCCAAGTCTCATCCGTTAATAATTTTACTGGTAATATGGATACCCGTAACCCTCAAATAACGGAACGGATACAGATATACCCAAATACTAGTTTCTCGTTGCCCACCCCTGCCTTTCGCGATCCAGCAGTAAGGCTCATGAATCATGACAACACCTTTGTAGACTTTGGTTAATCAACCCAGGAATCATGACAACACCTTTGTGTGGCTCACAAACTGTGGTTGAAAACTAAAAACTCCAAGTCCCTATCACCTTCAGACTTTAGGAGTTCAGGTGCACCCCCCCCAAAAAAAAAGGCTTCAGCCACAAATTGGAAGTATCCGGAATTCATTAACCGAAAAAATCCCATATAATGGTCATAGCCACCTCTTCCTTTCATTTTCACTTGCATAGTTGCATTGCATCCCTGCTTCCCCTCTCCCCAAACTTCACTGCAGTTCATCTTGGTTCAGAATGGAGGAAGCCAGCATCGATTTGCAGCAGGGAAAACTAGTCGTCGGAGCTTTCGTTGCCATCGTTGCAGTGTCGATCATGGCGTTCTGGTTGATGATGAAAGGCAACAAAGAACGACCAGCCCCATTGCCTCCCGGCCCACGCGGATTGCCAGTAGTCGGGTACTTGCCATTTCTAGGCACCCATCTCCACAAGAGCTTCACACAGCTTGCCCGAGTTTACGGCCCAATCTACAAGCTTTGGCTCGGACACAGAATCTACGTCGTGATTAGCTCACCTTCGCTGGTCAAGCAAGTCCGTGAACACGACGTAACATTCGCAGATCGAGATCCCTCTATTGCTTCCAAAATCCTTACTTTCGGCGGAAATGACATTGCTTTCGCCTCCTATAGCGCCGACTGGAGAAAGCTGCGGAAGATTTTCGTGCGAGAGCTAATGAGCAGCGCCCGGCTCAATGCTTCCAACGTGCTGAGAAAGCGGTATGCCGAGAAGGCTATTAAAGATGTGTACCAGAAGACAGGTAAGGCTTTGGACTTTGGCCAGTTGACGTTTATGATCATATCGAACACTGTTCTTAGCATGCTATGCGGTAGCACGACACATGGAGAGGAAGGGGAGAAGTTGTTCTCGCAGATCCGGGAAGTAGTAGGTGAATTGATGGTGCTACATGGGGCGCCCAACATCTCCGACATGATTCCAGCACTCGCCCGGTTTGACCTGCAGGGGGTGGAGAGGAAAAGCAGAGAGACATTTCGGAGGTGTGATCGAATTGTGAGCTCCAAAATCGAGGAGCGGCAGAAACTAAGGGAAAGTGGCGACGACAACAGCGTTAGCATAGAGGCGAAAGACCTTTTGCAAATTCTACTAGACCTCAACAACCATGGAGATTGTGCTGCTGATTCATCTATTACAGACAACCAACTCAAAGGCATTCTCATGGTTAGTGCACCTGAACTTTGCTAAAGCTTTCCATTCAAATTGAAGGAGGTAACAGAAAATATGGCTTGAGCATATACCGTTGAATAATCTATCTTTGTAACAGGATTCTATCATCGGCGGAACGGACACAACATCGACCACGATAGAGTGGACGATGGCAGAGCTGATGCAACATCCAGAGGCAATGCAAAAAGTATACAAAGAGCTTGACGAAGTAGTAGAAAGAGGCAATGTCGTGGAGGAGTTCCATCTCCCCAGATTACACTACCTAGAAGCAGCTATCAAAGAGACATTCCGACTGCATCCAGCCCTGCCTCTACTGGTGCCACGATGCCCTACCGAGGACTGCCAAATAGGTGGATACACCATTCCTAAGGGAGCCACCGTGTTCATCAATGCTTATGCAATGCACAGGGATCCACAGCTCTGGGACAGTCCTCTGGAGTTCAGACCAGAGAGATTCCTAAACGAGAACGCAGCCAAGTTCGATTACTTGGGGAACAGTTCTCAGTATTTCCCATTTGGGATGGGAAGAAGGGTCTGCGCAGGAATTCCCATGGCCGAGAAGATGCTCAATTACATTCTAGCATCACTGCTCCACTCATTCGAATGGAAGCTAGCTCATGGGTCGACAGAGGTGGATTTGACTGATAAATTTGGAATCGTGGTCAAGTTAGAGAAGCCGTTAGTTCTCATCCCTACACCAAGGCTAGCCAATCCTGAGCTATACTACAGCTAGAACCCTAATGAAAAACAATTTCTGATGTTCTGTGCTTCCTGTTGTAGTATCATTACTGCGTATAAAAAATCCAAGCTATGTTTGCCAACAATGGCTTCTCCAGAGTTTATGCAAGTTCAGTTACTCATGGAAATAACTCAATCGCTTCCAATTAATTCAACAAAATGAAAGAGAGACAGAGCTCTGGATCATTTCCATCAATGGCCATTATGTATTGCATCAGAGAGATATTCACAATAGCATTTGTATGGTGATTCCTCCCATCAATTAAAGGGGAAGAAAACGGAGAAAAACCAAAAGGGGGGGAAAATGGCAGAAAAAAATCAAAACTGAAAGAAATTTTAAAATACCTACAGATCTAGGTTTTCGCCGCCGCAGGGGAAAAAAAGGTCAGGCCTTCACAGCTCCGCGATCTTGAATGGAATCCCATCTCGATCCCATCATCATCATCATCTTAAACTCTTCGAAATCAATCGTCCCGTCGCCGTCACTGTCGACGCCGCTGATCATCTTGCGGCACTCGGCGATGGAGCAATCCTCGCCCAGACTGCCCATGACCTTGTGCAACTCCTCCGCGGTAATTGACCCGTCGCCGTCGATGTCGTAGACGGAGAACGCGTCCCTCAAATTGACCATCGCCTCCTCGGAACCAACCCCCTGAGTGTTGAGCTCCACGAACTCCTTGAAATCGATGAACCCGTCTCCGTCGGCGTCGAACTCGGTGATCATTTTCTGGAGCTCCTCCTCGCCGGCCTTCTGGCCGAGGCTGGACATGATGGAGCCGAGCTCGGAGGCGGAGATCTTGCCGTCGCCGTTGACGTCGAACTTGCGGAAGACTTGCTCCAGCTCCTCCACCGGGCACCGCAGCATCGGCGGCGGAGGGGAGCCGGATCCGGTGAATGATGCCACGGCGGCGGGGGAGTCCTCGGAAGAGGCCGATTTTTTGGACTTTTTCCGGTGGAACAGAGCGCGGAAACCCATGATCGGGAGGAGTTCGTTGGCCGTTGCGACGGTGGTTTGTGGGGAGCAAAATCGGGGGAAGGGAAATGGGAATGGATGGAGGATTCGGAATTTTTGCTGTTGGAATAGATATCGGAATTCGGAAGGATAAACGGAAAATGGATTAGGGATTTATTTTTATTTTTGGAGTAAGAACGAATTTTATAGTTCGCTTTTTTTTAGGATATATATTTTTGGTTTGATTTGCCTGCCAAGTTATCGGGAGGAGAATAAGGGGCAGCTGTCAGGGTAAATGACACAAATATTGTTATTTTTTTTAATTTATCATGAATATTACAAATTAAAAACTATTGACACAAATATTGTGTTTTTTAGTAAGGATTGGGGCGGGACCACCTGAGACTCAGGCGGGACTGATATTTTATCCAGTCCTGGGCGCTGGCGCCCCAGTCTCAAGCGGCCCCGCCTCAGACAAATTTTTTAATTTGTCTGAGGCGGGGCCGCTTGAGACTGGGGCGCCAGCGCCCCGGACTCTTTTTTTTTTAAAATTTCGGCCGTTCCCCTTCCCTCCACCTTATCCCCTCCCACACCACACACCACACAGCCTTACCCTTCTTCCTCCCCCCCTGCGAACCAGAGACCCGCCTGCTACCGCCCCTCGCCGCCGCCCCAGACCCCGGCGCCGCCGCCCCAGACATCCGCGCGGCCGCCCCAGACCTCGGCTCCGCCGCCCCAGCCACGAGCGCCGCCGCCCCAGCCACTAGCGCCGCCGTCCCAGACCTCGGCGCCGCCGCCTTTGACTGACCCGCCGCCGCCCGAGATGTCCTCCGACGAAGAACCAGTCGCCGCCGGCAGAGGCAGAGGTAGAGGTCGGCGAGGTCGTGGTGGAGTCGGCAGCCGTTTGCGCGGTGAGACTCTCGTCGGCAGCTTGATTTTTTTTTAATGTTTTGTGTTTTTTTTAATGTTTTGTTGCTTTGTTTTTGCAGTTCCGAGACTTATGGATCCTTATTCGATGAGATTACCGCCGGCGACAATTGATCCAAGTCCGGTCGATCCGACACTTCTTTGGGGACACGGCCAACATCGTATCGACTCTGTTTGGACAAACGAGGTAAGTATTTGATAATTATTCATGTAAAGTTAATTAGCTAATTAGATTATTTTAGGTAGTGAACTGAACTGTTAGGTGAAATTAGTATAATTTCAAATTAGTATAATTTTATGTTAGATAAGACAGATTAGAATTTATTAGGTGAAATTAGAATTATTACGAATGAAAATGAATTAATATAAGTTTTGTGCACTATAGGCTGGTGATCGACCGTACCATGTTCGAGGTACGACCATTTTAGTACCTTACCATGAGGTTTATCGGCCATATCTCGAAGCGGCAGGCTTGTTTAGTGTCGTGCCCCTAGTCCCTATGAACCCCGATGCTAGTTTGATTACTGCGCTCGTAGAGCGGTGGCGCCCCGAGACGTCGACCTTCCATCTACCGTGTGGTGAGATGACGATCACGTTAGAGGACGTTGTTACACTGTCCGGTCTGGCGATCGACGGTGATGCCGTCGTAGTTGATATACCGGATGAGGAGTGGTCGGCGATCTGTTTGAGACTGTTGGGACGAGTTCCGGCCGATCTTGTAGGCAGTGTCGCTGTTGTTAGGATTGTTTGGCTGAGGGTTGAATTCAGTCATCTGCCGGAGAATGCATCACAGGAGGTTATAGAGCAGTTTGCACGAGCTTATGCTCTATCTCTGCTTGGAGGTGTACTTTTCTCGGATCGGTCTGGAAGTACGGTGCACCTACAGTACCTACTTCTGATTGAGGATTGGGAGAGAGCTGGACGGTTTGCCTGGGGAGCTGCTGTTTTATCCTACCTGTACCGTGAGATGGGTAGGTCGACTTTGCACATTACGCATACCGGCACTTCTCTTAGCGGTGACCTTGGTGGATGGGTCGCCCTACTGCAGTTTTGGGCGTGGGAGCGATTCCCACATCTGGCACCTCGAGACGAGGAGACGAGGGCACAGGCCACCGAGGATGCATTCCCACGTGGTCTTCGATGGCTTTCGGCCAACAGTCGTCAGTATGGTGACCAGCTATTCCAGTACAAGCTGTGGTTTGACGCGATGGACACCGTGGTGGTTAGTATATAACATTTCATTTTATATAATAGTTTTCATTTGTTTTATTTTTTTAGATTTAGGGATAATAACGATAATTTTTGGATTTAATGTAGTGGCAACCTTACTTTGAGAGAGCACTTCATCTCAGAGGTAGTGTGCTACAGTCGGAGACATTTCGAGCAGTAGTGCCACTTATCTGCTTTTCATCGGTGATGTGGCATCATCCAGACCGCGTGCTCAGGCAGTTTGGCATGAGACAGCATGAGCCTCATCAGCCACATTCTGAGGCTGAGGTTAGGTTTTTTCTTCGCCAGGCTACTCGTGGGCCATCGCGTGGGCAGCAGTTGGTACACGCCTCCAGAGAGTCGATTGCTTTCTGGAACCGTCGACAAGAGTTTGTAGCGACGGCTCCATATACTGATGAGGAGTTAGCCTACCACTCGGAGCATATGGAGTGGTATAGAGATGTCACCAGACGATCCGGCACACGGAGAGGAGCTGCAGCAGAGGCGTTGGTTAGTTATTTGATTTATTTGCTTAATTTGTTGTTATTTGTGTGAAATATCTGACATTTTTTTTTGGTGTTTTTTAGTACGACACTATCGAGCATGCTGAGGTGAGTTTGCGTGACGGTGTACGGTCTGGAGGGCTGACCCCCGACCAGTGTGAGGACTTGGCCAACTTTATGGCATCCGGGGTTGCTGCTCTAGGGTTTGAGGATCGTAGATACCCTGATCTCACAGTACCTGTACAGCGCCATTATGAGGGGCCCGTCATGACTGCCTGGCCAGAGCGTACTGATCCGACACCGGGCTGGGTCGTCCCAGAGCCACAGTTCAGACAGGAGCATAGGCCACGTAGACAGAGACGTGAGCATCGTGATGCACCTAACCCATTTCGGGTTTCCGATCGACAGCGAGCACAGCCCATCCGGCCTACATCGAGGAGCTTCCAGTTTAATCCGCCTCGGACGCAGTTTCAGTCAGATCCTTCCTCGAGCTTTCAGCCGCCGCGACGACAGCAGTTTCAGTCAGATCCGTCATCGAGCTTCTATCAGCCAGAGGATAGCTTCCATACACCGCAGCATGCTACGAGGGGAAACATGGCATCAGGTGGTGATACTAGAGCAGCGGCGTCTCCCGACCTGTGGCAAGAGGGTGATGAGGTGTTTAGGGAGACGATGTGGATCCATGAGCAGCACCTTCAGTCTCAGCGTAGTGGTGGCGGTCAGCCTGATGAGCATCTTCAGTCTCAGCAGGATGAGATGTTCGGTACACAGGACCAGGATGGTGGAGTTGAGGAAGATGAGCCACAGGAGTATGATGGTAGACCAGTGCGCATCAGGGTGCCTGCTAGGTGTGGTACTGGCGGCCATCTAGCGGTGGAGCATGGTGGTCGTCGTGGTGGTCGTCGTGGTGGTCGTCGTGGTGATCATCAGTGAGACTATTATTATTATGTACTTCCTTCAGACGTTTATTTTTGGATTGTTATTATTATGTACTTCATTCAGACTATTATTTTTGGATTGTTATTATTATGTACTATAAACAAACAACAACATCTCAAGCAACAACATCTCAAACAAACAACATCTCAAACAACAACATTTCAAACAAACAACATCTCAAACAAACAACTTTTACATGGTAAATCAAAAGATAACAACAACATACCAAACAACAACATCTCAAACAAACAACAACTTTTACATGGTAAATCAAAAGAAATATAACAACTTCTACCACCTCTCAGCCACGTCTATTACCTCTACTTCCTCTTCTACCACCTCTCGTACTTCGTTGGCCACCACTCCCTCCTCGGTTGCTCCCACTCCTACTAGCTTGGCCGCCGCAAGTTGATGCATTATGTCCCGCTTGGTTACAGTTGCTGCACACTTGGTGTGATGCACCCTCCCTTGGCCAGTCCATCTCGTTGTGGATCCTTGTAACTCGTGGCCTCCCCGGCTTCCTAATCATGTGCACATTAGGATGGAGAATAGGACCATTATGTTTCTTCCAACCCTTAGGTTCACCAAGAGGTGCGAAACTTGTCCCATAACAAGCCATCACTGTTTCCAGCTTGTAGACATTGTTGACAAACCTATACGCATTAGCCCCCATTCGGTTGCAAGCTGCAATGGCATGAGAGCAAGGAATTTTATTTCCTTGAAATTTACCACAAGTGCAAAATCCTGCCCGGTTTTGATCGTCAAAGTGAACTGTGAGTGTGTTTGACCCTGTCATGTTGAAATTGTTGGGAGGAGTCTGAACTACATAGATGCCTTGACCTCGATCAAGAGCTGTCACAGAATGTCCAATTGCCTTTTGTGACCTGTACTTCATTAGCTCTTCGCACTTGTTGGAGTACTGTGAACCGCCACTTCTAATTTCTGCTCCTGTCTCCAACCTATACATATCGAATTTCTCCACCAATCGCCAATAGGTATGCTGCACAAGAGAAGCTATCGGAAGTGCACGAATACCTTTGAAAACACCATTGACGCTTTCTGCCATGTTGGATGTCAGGATAGACCAACGACCCCCACCATTGTAGTTATCATGTGCTAAACTCCAACGAATCTGATGTTGATCCACCCAGTTATCACATGAAATATTTCTATCAGCGGCCACCTTCTTAAATTGCTCAACTTGACGATCAAACTTCTCCAACCGTTTTTCTCCGGCTAAAAAAATAAACCACAACACGTGTTAGATAAATTCATGACAAAATTACATGAAAACAAATAACAAAATTAAATGAAGAAAGCTTACCGACTCGAAATAGTTGATTATACATAATTTTGCTTCGAGTCTTCCTTTGCAAATTGCTTGCATAGTGTCGCATGCACCACCTCCACTCCCAACCTCTTCCGATGTTATTCATGGCTTCATAGAGTCCTGCATGTCTATCTGAGATGATGCATACATCATTTCGATCAGTCAAACCCTGAACCTTCCTCATGAACCATGGCCAACTCTCAGTATTCTCGCTCTCCACTATGGCAAATGCAATTGGAAAAATCTTCCTCCGGCCATCAAATGAGCTCGCCATGAGTAGCACTCCTTTATACTTCCCAGTAAGAAATGTTCCATCCACAACCATGACGCCTGGACAATTCTTGAATCCATCTATACAAGGTCCATAAGCCCAGAATACTCGCTGAAATATTAAATGACCAGGTTGAGTCGAAGGAACTGTTACCCAATCAATCACCGATGTTGGCATTTTTCTCTTGACCACCCGCAAGAATGTTTGCAAAAAATCGTAGGATTCTTCCCAATTTCCATGCAACTTCTCCAATGCTCTTTGTTTCCCATACCAAGCCTTCTTGTAAGTAACTTGCATATTAAACTTATCTTTCAACTCGGCTTGAACAGTTAGAACACTCAGATTTGGTTGGGCACGTACCAAATGTTTGACGGCCTCAGATATCATGTCGACATCAAGATGGCGATGATCCGTCGGTTGAGTCGTACTGCTACAAGAATGCACCAACTCAGCTTTTCTCACAGTCCATTCGCCCCCAACATCTCGACATCCAAACCGCACCATCCAAGGACAATTGTCATCCTTGTGCCTCAAACATCTGACCTTCCATATTGAAGGTGACGACTCCACCACGCCATATAGAAAGTTGCGTTGTAGTGCGTGGTGTTTAATCGCCATCTGTGCAGCTTGTTTCGAGTGAAATATCTACCCCTTGTAGAATTCTCCTTCAAAACTATCAACAATAGGCATTGGAATTACGCCATATGAATCAGCAAGTGCAAATTCTTCGTCATCTTCATTGCCCTGCAAGTAAAAATATGGAGGATAATTAAGTTGCTCTCCTTCCTCCTCCTCCTCCTCCTCCTCCTCCTCCTCCTCCTCCTCCTCTCCGTCATCACCGTGATCATAGTCATGATCGGATGGCACGCTCCATGTATCATCTTCTTCCTCTCCACCCTGATCATCACTGAGCTCAACATGTATCTCAGCACCCAAACAATAAGGATTTTGTGCCATAAAATTCCAAAGCACATCCAAGCTATCATCATCCACAATAGGTAACGCATAATGAAATAAAACATCATTCTGCCATTCTGGAAGACGGTAAGTGAAACCTGTGATCACATCACTATCTTTTACTGCTTCGTCTCTGCGCCATATTCTCGGAATTAGAGTCTCACAAAGTTTGTGATATGTGACTCTGGATGGAACCGTCAACTGAAAACTACTACCACCAACGAATTTGACACCCAAATTATCCTCTACTTTCTCCGATTTCCACCGAACAACTAGTTCAAATCTTCTAAAATCACTACAAAAAAACAAACTCACTAATTAAAAACTAAACACAATCATAATAGCATTTGAATAATATAATTACAAAAATAAATGTGTCTCTTACCTAGCCATTTTTGCAGCAGCAACCAGAGCTCTCTCCTCTATTTTGGACGATTTTTTTTGTGGTGTGAATCTGAAACGAAATGTCTGTCTGGGTTTTATAGGGTGGGTGGCCAATCCACCTACTCGCCTCAGTCTCGGGCGCCACCACCGGAGTCTTGATTTCCCACCTACTCGCTTCAGTCTCGGGCGCCGCCGCCTGAGACTCGGGCGCCACCGCCCGAGTCTAATAAAGCGGGCCAAAAACCAAGTCTTAAGCGGCGGCGCCTGTGTCTCAGGTGTACCCGCCAATTCTGATGTATAAAACACAATATCTTTGTCAATAGTTATTAATTGGCCATATTCGTGGTAAATTTAAAAAAAAAACAATATTTATGTCATTGTCCCCCTGTTGGAAATCGCTCCACAAGGCAAGATCAGCGACAAGCCGGAGGAGACAAACTTATAATTTGATATTTGTTAGTGTACTAAAGTGCAATTTAAAAAAATTAATATTATAGATTAGGGTTAATTTTTTTTATTTATTTATGGAAGGGAGGCAAGAATGCCAAAATTACAAAAGCCTAGGGCCTAAGAAGGCAGGAACATATCGCGGAAACACAGCAACAAGAAGGTGGAGAAACAGAGCAAGAGAACAGATCACAGAAAAATTCAAAGAGCATCCCTCTGAATCACTTGCCGAGGGAAACTGACTCCGAGGATATCTTCACGGCAGATTCGATCAAGTTCTAATGGGGGATCATCCAATTCGTACGTGCCAAAGAGATAGACGAGACTGTGCTTCGAGAGCCAGTCTGCGGCTCTATTCCCTTTCACGATACGTATGAATCAGACGAACCACCCATTCTTTAGCTAGATAACGCCGAATAGCTCCTAAGATCGTCGAGTGTGGGTGAGCGTTGTCCGTTCTTTTCTCAATTAGTTGAAGAGCAAGTTGCGAGTCCGACTCAAGAACTAGGAAGCGTGAGCCTTTCTTCCAGGCGAGTTCAAGGCCTTTCAGGATACCCCACAACTCAGCCAAAATAGCCGATCCTGAGCCTAATTTGCTGACGAAGCCTCCTATCCAATCTCCATCATGATCATGGAGGATCCCCCTGCAGAAATAATACCCTGAGTACCCTCAGCAGCTCCATCGGTGTTAAGCTTGTGCCAACCAGCCTGTGGCTTTGACCAGCCAATTAGGACTTCTTCCCCTCGATGAGAACTGTTGATGGAAAGCGTCTTGCTGGCCGAATAACATTTCATGCTTCTCTACTATTATAAGTTAATTAATTCGTCTCTCTATCTACTATTTTTTTCACGTTCATACTCTCCAACTATCAAAACGTAACAAATATGTTCTTTTGTCACTATTTCCGTTACATGTCTGTTAAAGGGCTCTAAAATGACTATTTTGCCCCTCATTTATCATTGAATACATTAATTTCTGGAAAAAACTAATCATTAAATTAATTTTCTTACTCTAATTTTAATTCCTCCTTTACCATCGAGGGAAATCCCCATCCATCCAATTTCATCTCCCGTACCCACAACACCGTCCTTTCTTCTTCATCATTGGTACCTCGGACGCGTAATCCCCTTTGGCCGCCAAGAGCATACCTGTGTTGGATGAGGGATTGGAGAAGCCCAACAACCAATAGCCAAGGGAGAGCATCATAAGCCTCGTAATGACTGCAAGGAGGAAGCTCCGGAGCCTTTGAGATGGTGAATCGCTCCGGGCGATGAAGAGGAAATAGGAGATGATGGTCTAGGGCGTCGAGGATCTTATGTCTATTCTCCATCGATTATGGATTTCCTAAGGAATAAGTGTAGATTCGCAGTGAATTCCTCTTTTTCCATCTTGTCATATTGGGAGCGGCGACTGGGGCAGGGCAGGGATTGGCGGTGACAGCAGCAGTAAGATTTCCATCCCGGAGATTTCGCTTAGAAGCTGAAGAGGGTTTTGTTTATTTTTTCTAATAAAAATAATATTAATCATAAAACAGGGCCAAAATAGTCATTTTTAGCCCCTCTAACGGTTGAGCAACGGAGTACTAAAATCAAGCTAGAATGAAATGAACAAGACACATGGAAAATCCAAATCGGGAAAAATCACGAGACATTTGTTCACAGTAGCGAACTCAGAAGTTTTATTAAGGGTATTCAACGATAGGCCAAAATCACTAAGAGTTGTCAAATAGTGTAGTGTTTGAATACTATCACCACTAAAATAAAATTTTACAAAGATTTTTTGTCCCAAATTTGGATCCAAGGGTTGTCAATTGACAACTCTTCCAATAACTTGGGTCCGCCCCTATTTGTCCAAGCCACAACTCCACTATACATTTGGTGGGATTACATTACAAGTTCTTTCTAGACTAGTTAGAGCCTTAGAGGATTACAAATTATCTCAAAGAATTTTCTTGGATCACCACTCTAACACAAAGTCTCTCACCAACCCGGAGGATAACAAAGAGAAAGAGAAGTTTCACAAGTACAAAAAACAGTTTTGTGCTCTCTCTGTCAAGAAGCAATTACAGATAAATGATGGGCACAAGGGTTCGACTGGGGGCCCTAGGGGGTTGGGATGTGGGGCTTGGAGGTTTACGGGTTATGCGTGGGCTTAGGAATATTAGTGGGTCATTAGTAGAGTCGGGATGGGGGGTTTGGGAGCTGCCGAGTTCGGCTAGGGAAAGGAGTACGAGTTGGCTAGGGTTTACGTATTATATATATGTAAGTTCGGCATTAGTTGGGGTTATCCAATAATAAAGTAAAAGTTTATCGACAATATACATTGTTCTCCCGCTTGTGAGTTACAAGCAAACCCTAGAGTTGAGCGCATCGATTCATCAATTGGTATCAGAGCCGCTGCGATCCACGATGGGAGGGACAACGGCGGAGCGGTGCGCGGCACTCGCAGAACTCCAGGTGGTTTCAGGTAGGTTCTTCTCATTTAGTATTGATTCGTTTTCCTTTGATCCTGGTCGGTTCCGGCCTTTTTGTTTTGTTTTTTTTTTTAGTTCGGACAAGTAGAAAGAAGGGCGACCGCCGGCAGTTCTGAGTATCACCTGCGGCGACGACGCCAAAGGAAGAACTTAGGTTTTTGGAAAGTCTTCTTTTAATTTGCTTGATTTTTGTTTACAGATTTTGACTCTTTCTCTTCTTGCAGATTTTGAATTGAAGTGATTTATGCCCTTCGACCGGGACCCATTCTGCTCCCCCTGCCTCCAGAACGCCATAAACCCGGTCTCCCTTCACATACCCGGTCGGGTATTTTAGTGACTTGACCGAGTATTTTCCTGGTCAGCTACTCCTTCACAACCTCTTGACGGAGCTCCACCAACCGCTGCCCTCATCGCCCACACTCTTCTCCGATAACATGGGCGCTATTAGCTTCAGCTCCAATCCCTTGTTTCACTCTCGTATAAAGCATTTGGCTCTAGAGTCTAGACTTTCACTTCGCTCGCCAACTAGTCTAGGATGGCCGACTCAATGTCTGCTATGTTCCTACTACTCAGCAGCTCGCAGACACTCTCACCAAGCCGCTTATAGCTTCGCGTTTCCTCCTTTTCTGGTCCAAGATTGGAGTCGTTGACACCTCTTCCATTTTGCGGGGGGCGTATTAGAGAAAAAGAATGAAAGCTTTTTTTGTATTTATTTAATTACTCTCCTAATTACCCGTTACCACCTCTCACCACTGCTCAACTCCCATGTACATTCCCCTAAACTCTCAACAAATTCCCTTGTATCTCCTGTAAAAGTGTATAAGTTTGGTTGAATGTAACGATGCAGAGCAAGGTCAGAAATCTTATTCTTCTCACAACAAATTCTCCTACTCTAACATTATCATCAGTATGACACTAGTCCACAGAGATCTCCCTCTCAAGTTTTTCGATTTATTGTTGCTTCTTTTCAACGTAGTACACAACATCATATTTATAGATTTGTTCTATAAACCCTAACTACAGATTATGGCTATTTAAAAATCGGTACTCTATAATTAATAAACTAACACCTTATTCTCGGTTTTCAACACCTTTTTCTCTAACTTGTTCCCGCTTCAAGATTCTGCATTCTCTCCTCATGTGTACGGGTTGGTTGCAGTGATAACATGTGATTTCTCCTCTCACTCTTGAGATAGATTTTGATCTCCCTCTAGATCTACCTCGGCTGCTACTTTGATCTCAAGAGTTCTTGAAATTGGAATTTCGATTTCTACCTCTTCCACGATTTTTCAGATTTATTCACCACCAAAGCACGTGATTCTGATGAAATCCCCAATTCTTTTCTTCTTGCCTCTTCATTCAGCATATTATCCTTGACAATATCCATCGTCAGCTGGCCATTAGGCATCGAGTTGCTAAGTGAGACCACCAAAGTCTCACAACCATCCGACAACAAGCTAAAGAGTAACAATGCATGTACCTCATCATCAAGTGCTAACTTCATAGTAGTTAGCTGGTTCACAAGCCCTTGAAAATCACTAAAATGCTCTGTGACACTATGTCCATCCTTGTACTCCAAGTTCACAATTTTTCGAATGAGTGATACTTTGTTTTGAGTCGATTGCCACTCATACGTGGACTCCGATTTCTGCCACAATTCATCCGCTCTTATGTCTTTTGCAACATGGTGAATGATGTTGTGGTCAATCCATTGTCGAATGATTGCTACCATCTTTCTATGCAAGACCTCCCACTGCTTATTTGACTTATGTTCTGACTTCTCACTGCCACTTTCAATAGGTTCATAGAGATCCTTGCAAAATAATATATCTTTCATTCGTGGCTTCCAAATCAAGTAGTTGGATGATGTCAACTTAATCATTGCTCCGTTCGTGTCATCCATTCTTGCCATTCAACCAAAGGCATCCCCCAAACAACCATGAGCTCTGATACCACTGTTAAGAAACAGAGTAGCAAAATCAAGCAATAATGAAACGAACAAGACATACAATTTTTACGTGGAAAACCCAAATCGGAAAAAACCACGGAACCTTTGTCCAAGCCACAACTCCACTATACTTTTGGCGGAATTACAATTTATCTCTATACTAGCTAGAGGATTAAAAAATATCTCAAGAACTTTCTTAGATCACCACTCAACCACAAAGTCTCTCACCAACCCGGAGGATAACAAAGAAGAAGCGAAGGTTCACAAGTACAAAAAACAATTTCGTACTCTCTCTGTCAAGAAGCAATTACAGACAAAACACAGATAATAACAACAATCCGTCCAATCACATTGAATAATAATGAGTCTTGAAAACTCTCATTAAATTTCAGGACGATCCAACGGTTTGTTCTCCCGTTATGCTCTCTTGAACATGCTTCCCTACTGCAGAAAAGAAAAGTCGTGCAACCTTTTAGTTTCTCTTCTCTCTTTTTAATTCTTTGTCACTTAAATGGTTGTAACTCTTCTCTATTACAACAATAGAGGATCTTCTCAAAATGACCTTTGAACTCCCCCAATGAATTCAAGATAAGCCAACTTAATTTCCATGACTCAAGAAAACCAGTTAGGCCAACCATCATAAGAAGCTGGACCAACCTAACACTAAAAGACTTGTGACGGAAATATCAAATAATGACGGAAGAGCATATTTGTTACGTTTTGATAGTTGAAGGGCATGAATGTGCAAAAAAATAATAAAGGGGTACATTTGTTAACTTACAAATATAGAGGGGCATAAAATGCTATAAACCCTATAAATTATGTTGAATATATGTCTAATAATCTATTACTCTACTTCTTGCTTTATTGCATCACTGCCAAAGATGGAGTTCAAGAGTGTTTGTCGAAATACGAGCTTGTCGATTGAAAACTGGAATGTTTGACTATTGAGTTTGTGCACTACCGGTCCAATGTCGAATTTTGTTTTTTTACTGTCGGATGTTTCCTCTCCTTCCATTCTTTGAATATCACATCAATATAAGGTTGGGCAGATACTATATTTCATTGATGAAATAAGATAAAATAAGAAAAAGACACGTCATTGACGCTACTCCTGTAGCAACTACACTAATGAGAACGAATGATTCATGTTTATCGCTCTAACATTGACCACAAAGAAACATAAGCTCTAAAAATAAGATTTAAAATACACTATAGCAATCTCATATCTTACTTTTACCACCCGACCCACCCATTAATGGTTGAAACTCAAATCATATTTGGCGTCGTTTACTTCATGGAATTGGAGACATGAGAGTTTTGGAAAACTTTGGATTTGTGATGAATTTGGTATATTTGTGGATTTGATGAGTTCTATGTTTAATGGATTTTGTTCATGAATTTGTTGTTATGTTTTTGTAGCTTTAATATGTAAATTATCTTAATATACTTATTTATTTATTTTATATTATTGAGGCAAATTCCACACTCATATTTGGGATTTGCAAGTTCATGGCCTTGCATATTTGGACACTCAAAGTCAATGAATCATACGAATTTGATCTTTTCACGAATGCATGGAGCAAACAATGGATTTATACTAAATTCATAATGATTATGGATTTAAACCAAATCTATCCCTCAAATCTAGGGGTGGAACTCGGTATGGTATCGGTATCCCAATACCAAATACCAAAATCCCGAATACCGAATTATACCTGAAAGTCAATCCCAATCCCAATCCGTAAATAATTTCGGTATCCCAATCCCTAAATATTGCGGTATCCCAGTCGGTACTTCGGTATCCCAATCGGTATTATCGACTACAAAATTAATTACATTTGAAATAAATAATTAAATATATAAATTAGATTTGATTGTTTAATTTAGGGCAAAAAGACTAAGCAAAGAGTCTTGAGTTTGCCTAGAGCTAGGATATGGATAAGAAGAATGAAGGAGATGTGACATCTCAAGTTCTTGTCATTGGTAATCTTTAATTTGACGAATTGAAGGCTAAGAGTCGACTAATGCTAGTGTTTGCTTTTTGGTGTTATGAAATAACAAGTTATTAGGTGAGAGATGAAAGTGACTTAAATTGGAAAGCCAAAATTGAGTTGGATGAGGACTTTTGAGTTGTGAAACAAAGATGAAATGATCTATGTATAATTAAATGACACTCTTGGTGGTTGAGGATTGTGTAGTAGTGAATGAGAGAGTGTAGTTGATTGCTGGGCCTTGCCTCTCTCTGACCCACTGAACAAAGAAGCCCACTGAGACTCAAAGCCCAACAGAAGTTCAACGCGTCAACTATTCGAGTCAAGATCCCTAAAAGAGCGTCTTCGCCTCCATCCTCCATCATCAAAATCAAAACAGTCGATTGACGAGAACTGGCTGGGAATCGCGCTGCAGCTCTCCTCCTTGATTACCAACGGTAAAGCTCATTGAAGAAGGAAGAGACAAGGAACGAAGCTTCTCATCCTATAAAGAGACCACTCCTGTCATTAGAGAAGAAAACGGTTTTCTCGACTTAGTTTGAACAGGTCTGTTCTCTGGAAGTCGTAGGGTTGGGTTCAGTGTTAATGTCTGGATAGCTTGAGTTGGGGCTGTGGCCAGGAACTCAAGCATATCTCGGCATGGCTTCTATTTCTGCTTTCCTTCTTTATTTCGGTTCTTCAATTGGTGATGCTTGTAGTTTTGCAACTCTGAACTTTAGTCTTCTGGTTTATCGAATTAGTCATTCAAACAAAACGTTTTCTTGATTCAATTAAAATCTGAAGCTCGGTCTCTCAATTCTGGTTGGTTGCGGTTATGGAATTGGTCTCATAGCTGTTTAACAATTGGTATCAGAGCCTCCTTCTTGATTGAACCTAGTGTTGTTGAGAAAGAGATCCTCTGTCCAGCTATGTCGACTAATTCATTCCCAACAAGCTCCAATCCTCCCTGGTTTTCTGGTACAAATTATTCTGTTTGGAAAAAAAGAATGCGCCTTTTCCTCCGAGGAATCGATTGTGAACTAAGGGCAATTGTCTGTAATGGACCAATTGACATGAAAGAAGATGATGAGGAGGATTGGTCAGATGAACAAAAGAAAAATGCTCAACTAGACTCTAGGGCTATGCACATATTACTATCTGCTATTTCTGAAGATGAAGGAGAAAGGGTAAACAAATGTGAAACTGCTAAAGAAATCTGGTCAATACTTGAAACAACACATGAGGGTACATCAGAAGTTAAGGAAACTAGAATTGACATGTTGCTAAAAGAATATGAAACTTTTGATATGTTGCCTGGAGAATCTATTTCAGAAATGGATAAGAGATTCTCCACTTTAGTTAATCGACTTAAAGGATTAGGTAAAGAATTTACAAGCAAGGAACTTGTTAGAAAGGTGCTTAGATCTCTTCCTCTCGAATGGATGGCCAAAAGAACTGCCATTGAGGAAGCTAAGGATCTCAATGTGTTGTCCCTCGAGAACCTTATTGGTTCTCTTCTAAGTCATGAGGAAGTTCTGAAACAAATGAACTCTCTTCATGACAAAAAAAAAAAACTATTGCATTCAATACTGTGTGTACTAATGGAGAAGAGAGATTAGATGATGATTTTGAAAATGAGTTGGCCTTAACTAGCAAAAAACTGCAAAGGATGATGAAGTATAAACATGAACAGAACTCAAAAAGAGGGAACTACAATCATAATTACTCTCCCAGAACCTCTGGAAATATAGTCAATCACTACCCCAGACCTTCAGGACACAACTCTGGTGGATCAAATGACAAGAATTCATTTGGATCCATCATATCAGAATCCAGTCCTAAAGACAACAAAAACCCTAGTGATAAAATTGACTCCACCATCTGTTTTAAATGTGGAAAAACAGGACATATAAGGGCTAATTGTCCCCTTAATAAAAAGAAAGAAAAGGCAATGACTGCCTCCTGGAGCGACTACAGCTCTGAAGAAGAACCAGATGTTGTGGCATACATGGGGCTGAATTCAAGTTTAGAAGGTGATTCTCATGAAAATAAGGTATGGTATGAATCCTCTTCTGATACAATGTCGGACTCTCATGATGAAGACTTCTTTCTTCATGCGTTATCTAATCTTCAGAATGAATGTAATCTACTGAAAAGTAAATTCTGCTTAACTGTAACACAATTACATGGGAAGGAGAAGGAAAACTACACTCTAAAGGAACTAGTTAAAACTCAACAGTCTGCCATAAGTACACAGGACACTCAAGTTAGCAATCTCACTGCAGAAAACTTAAGCTTAAAGAGCGAGATAGACAAATGTCATAGAATCATCAACAAAAACTCAAAAATACTCAATCTTAATCACAGAACCAATGATTCCAGACAGTACTTTAGCCCTATGAACTTGAGACACCATGTTAATCATTGGAAATACAAGCTTTGCTGCTCCTTCTGTTGCAAATCTGGTCATAAATATGAGAATTGTTATTTCAAGAAAAACAAGGGTTAATACCCTCGTTTGGCATGAAGTATAGCGTTAGTGACATTTCTGGCCCAAGTTTTCAAATAAGACATCTCTGGCCCACTTTTCAAATTATCGGACGAATTTGGCCTATGGGACGGGTTGACTGTCAGATTTGACGGTCAACAATGTTCTCCGTTGCTGACTCAGGATTCGACTCTGACGTGGCTTGTCCACGTCATTTATTTTTATTTCCCTTTTTATGAACATTTCTAAGTCATTAAGTTAAAAAAAATATATAAATAAAACTAAAAGGGAAAGGTGGAGACCAGGTCCACCACACACTTACCCATCTCTTTCTTTCCACCTTCTTCCTCCTGTGAACCCCACCCCCTCGTATCCCCTTCCCCGAACTTCTCCGCCGCCGCCAATCCGACCCAAATTGGAGTGCATGGCACTTGAAACCCCACCGACCTTCTTCCTCCTGTGAAACCCCATCCATCGTCGGCTCGTATCCCCTTCCCATTACCTTCTTCCTCCTGTGTGTGGTGGAATGAACGGGATGGACTACAACGGAAGGAGGGCCCAGGGTAATAATGGTGCTCTGCTGCCGTTGATTTCGATGACGACCGCCAAGATCCTGCGGCTGCTGGTGGTGGTGGGTCTTCGGATTGACTACCCGCGGGCTCACGGTTGATGCGGTGGTCCACGGTTGACTCGGAGCTCCGAAATTGGAATTCGAAGTATTGTTGGGAGGAGTTATGAGAACGCTCCGTTGACCGGCGGCGGCGGGAGGGGACAAGAACGGCTTGTACGAATCTTGAAGCAAATCGGGGAAGTTGTTGTAGCTGTAGCTTTTGTCTTCGGGCTGTGCAGCGAGATCCGGGAAGGCGAATGGGTCGGGTTCGTCGTCGAAAGTCAACCCGGAGAGAGGGTTATTCTCGCGATGGAGATTGTTGCTGTTTGAGCAGGAGGCGGTGGAGTTGTCGGGCTGCGCCGCCGCGGCGGAGCTGCAGCTCCTGACGATCGCGTTGAGATCCCAGTCGTCGGCCATCGACGGAGGAGGAGAGGAGAGGAGAAAGAAAGAGATGGGTAAGTGTGGTGGACCTGGTCTCCACCTTTCCCTTTTAGTTTTGTTTATATTTTTTTAACTTAATGACTTAGAAATGTTCATAAAAAGGGAAATAAAAATAAATGACGTGGACAAGCCACGTCAGAGTCGAATGCTGAGTCAGCAACGGAGAACATTGTTGACCGTCAAATCTGACAGTCAACCCGTCCCATAGGCCAAATTCGTCCGATAATTTGAAAAGTGGGCCAGAGATGTCTTATTTGAAAACTTGGGCCAGAAATGTCACTAACGCTATACTTCGTGCCAAACGAGGGTATTAACCCGAAAAACAAACCCAAACTTGTTTGGGTTGTTAAATCTTCTAACTGAACTGTTTTCATTTCAGATTAATATGGGAGCAAATATTTGGTACTTAGACTCTGGATGCTCCCATCACATGACTGGTAATAAAGATCTATTTACTTTTCTTAACCCTAAAGAGGGAGGTAAAGTCTTCTATGGTACTAATAACTGTGCCTCTGTTGTTGGTAAGGGTACTATTAGTAGCAATTCTTCTCTTATAATTGAAGATGTTCTTTTTGTAGAAGGCTTAAAACATAATCTTCTCTCAATTAGTCAGATTTGTGGCTCAACCTATCGAGTAATTTTTGATTTATCTAGTTGCATCATTGAAAGAATATCTGATAATACCTTGATCTTCAAGGGAAAGAAAATCAACAATGTTTATACTGTTGATCTATCTACATTGGATCTCTCTGAAAACATCTGCCTTAGCTCTATATATGATTCTGCTGTTAGCTGGCACAGGAAACTTGGTCACATGGGTATGTCTCGTCTTGCTAAGCTGTCTAAGTTAAACTTAGTTAGAGGTTTGCCAGTCATCAAGGCATCTGATAATATCACCTGTGAGGCCTGCATTCTAGGAAAGCACTGCAAAACATCATTCAGGAGTAAACAAAATATTACAACTCAATCAACGTTTGAATTGTTGCACATGGATCTCTTTGGTCCTACTAATATACAAAGTCTTGGTGGAAAGTCCTATGTTCTAGTAATTGTTGATGACTTCTCTAGGTTCACCTGGGTGCACTTTCTATCATCAAAGGATGAAGCCTTCTCTAAGTTCAAGTCTTTTATTATACTTATTCAGAATCAATATAGAAGTAGTGTGAAATCAATTAGAAGTGATAATGGTGGTGAATTCATAAATGATGACTTCTGTCATTTCTGTAAGGAATTAGGGATTCTCCACACTCTGTCTGCTCCTAGAACTCCTCAGCAAAACGGTGTGGTTGAAAGAAAGAATATGTCTCTTATTGAAACTTCCAGAACCATGCTGTTAGAGTATGATTGTCCAAAGTATCTTTGGGGAGAAGCAGTTAACACTGCCTGTTATATCATTAATCGAACCACCATTAGTAAATCTGTTAACAGAACACCTTGTGAGATTCTAAAAGGAAAGACTCCTAAAATCTCTTACCTGCACCCATTTGGCTCTAAGTGCTTCATTCTGAACACCAGAGACTCTCTTGGAAAGTTTGATGCTAGGTCTGATGTGGGGATCTTCTTAGGATACTCAACCAAAGGGCAGGCTTATAGAGTTTTTAATAAAAGAACTAGGAAGGTTGAAGAATCTGTGCACATTCGCTTTGACACATCTCATCATTCCCTTCCTTTATCCTCTGATATTAATAATTATGATTTCCTGCGACTAAGCTCTTCCCTTGAGACTGATAGTACAGAAACTAGTAAGGATCATAATGTTGTGACCTCAGAACAGGATGAAGCATCCTTTGCAGCTGACTCAGGATCACAAGATGTATCTATTGGGGAGAACCAAGAAGCTCCTGCCCACATCAGGATGAGGCATCCACCCTCACAGATCATTGGTAATCTCTCTGATCCTATACACACCAGAGGTAAGTACATCCCAGGTCAGTACTCATTCGTTTCCCTCTTTGAACCAAAGAACTTTAAGGAGGCAATTCTAGATGAAGAATGGTTACTTGCTATGCAAGAAGAACTTTCACATTTCATCAGACTTAAAGTATGGGAACTAGTTCCTAGACCTGTTGGTGTCACTGTCATAGGAACTAAATGGATCTTTCGAAACAAATAAGATGAACTTGGTTTTATTATTAAAAACAAAGCTCGATTAGTTGCCCAAGGATACAATCAAGAAGAGGGAATAGACTATGATGAAACTTTTGCTCCAGTTGCTCGCCTTGAATCCATTAGACTCCTGTGTGCCTATGCTAGCTACTTGAATATCAAACTATTTCAAATGGACGTTAAGAGTGCATTTTTAAATGGTGAAATCAAAGAGGATGTCTATGTTGAACAGCCCCCAGGATTTACTGATAGTGAATACCCTGACCATGTTTTTAAACTATCTAAAGCTCTGTATGGACTTAAGCAAGCCCCCAGAGCTTGGTTTGAAAAACTGACTTCTTTTTTAATATCACAAGGCTTTTGTCAAGGGGGAGTTGATAAAAAACTTTTTATTAAAAGACAGAATGATGACTCCCTAATTGTTCAAGTTTATGTGGATGATATAGTATTTGGTAGCACTGATACTAGTATCTGTGAAGAATTCTGCACAGTCATGCAAAATAAGTTTGAAATGAGCTTAATGGGTGAACTCAATTTTTTTCTAGGTCTGCAAATTCTTCAATCTGATCTTGGCATCTTCATTCATCAAACTAAATATCTACACTCTATGCTATCCAAATTTGATCTGTTAAGTGTCAAACCTAGCAAAACCCCCATAGCCTCAAACTCTCACTTAGACTATGACTTAAATGGAATTCCAGTTTGTGAAAAAAGGTAAAGAGGCATGATAGGCTCCCTGTTATATCTTACAGCCAGCAGACCTGACATACAATTCAGTGTCTGCCTGTGTGCTAGATTTCAACATCAACCAAAAGAAAGCCACCTAAAGGTTGTCAAAAGAATTTTCAGATACTTAAAAGGGTCAAGTGATCTTGGATGATGGTATCCTAGATCCGATTCATCAGCCCTTGTAGGATATTCAGACTCTGATTTTGCTGGAAGCATCACTGACAGAAAAAGTACCAGTGGTACATGTCAGTTTTTTGGAAGATCTCTAGTGTCATGGTCCAGTAAAAAACAAGGCTCATTGGCCTTATCCACTGCATAGGCTGAAGATGTTGCTGCAGGGTGTTGTTGCACTCAAATTATGTGGTTAAAATCCCAACTACATGACTATGGTATTAATGTAAAACAAATACCTATTTTCTGTGATAACACAAGTGCCATATGCATGTCAAAAAACCCTGTTTATCACATTAAAGTGAAACATCACTTCATCAGAGACCTAATACAGGCAGGTCATATTGAATTAAATTTTATCTCAACTGACTTTCAAATCGCTGATATCTTCACCAAAGCACTTTCATCAGAACGATTTCTTAAACTATGTGATGATCTTGGTCTTCAGTCACTGCACTCCATCCAAGGAAGTCAATAAACCAGGTTCTGTTCTTCCTTTACTTATGCATTTATTTTTTACTAGCTTCTCGTGTGCTTTAATTACTTGTACTGTTAATTGATTGCTTGTTCATGCATGTGCTGTTTCGATTCTCAATAATTCTTGTCTTCCCAATCTCCTCGTGAATCTCCTGGTTTTCTGAGTACTATTTACTCTGAGTCCCTCCTCCCTTCAAATCTCTATCCTTAGCCTGTATTAGGAAACCTCATCATGACTGATCTTTTCACTTCCTCCAACATTCCTGGTGCTATTGTCACCTACGTAGGCAGAACCTTCAATGAGCCTGTAGACTTCAATTTGCATCGTTTTAAAGAGTTTTATGCAACTCGTCCCCTGTCCGACCCCATTTCACTAGATCTGTATGAGTTCAAGGCTCAAGGGATTGATATCACTCCTTTTATTCGAAATTTTGGATGGGAATTCCTACTCCATTATCCTCCTCTTGCTGCGTGTCCCCTCCCTGTTCGCACTTTCTATGCCAATCTAGACTGTCAAGGTATCACCACTCGAAAATTGACCACTCTATGGATACTTTATTTCCCTTACCTCTGAAGCCATTAGAAATCTTCTGAACCTCCCTACTGGAGGACCTCTCCCTCTGGCTCATGAAGACGAGTTTTTGTTTTATGAATTCGACCATGTCATTGAGTATTCTCGGATCACCTAGCGAACTGTTGGGGCCCATGAAGTTATCACCTCAGCTGACCTAAACACTTCCCTTCGCACCCTTCACTACTTCATCACCCATCTCTTCCTTCCCCGCAACCATGGCCACCATATTGTCACCAAAATTGACCTATGGATTCTGTCCAATGCTCTCACTGGTCGAAAAATTGATTACACCCAACTGCTGTTTGGTTCACTGGTTCGAAGTGCTGATGCTCACGTTGGTGGGCGCCTTCCATATGGAGGATTCATTACTCTACTTATATCCAATCTTGGCATCTCCCTCGATGGATACTCCACTATCGAAACATCCGTTTCCATCTCTGCCATTACTGCTCTTAAGTTTATAGGTTTAAATCCTCGGCACTCGAAAGGGGGAGATACTGCAGCTAGGAAAACCAAGCCAACCAGACCCCTCTAAAAGTCCATGACCAAACTCCTGAAACTTGGAGAATCCTCCTCCTCTGTGTGTAAAAACCTCATCATATCGTTTGAAGAAGAAGAGGCAGAACCAGCTCCTGAGTCTATCTCTGAGAAAGACATCAGACTGTTTGCTGAGGATCTCGAAAGAGATCTAATGGAAGGAGAAGCTGGAAATCATGAAGATAATGAGATGAAAGAATTAGCTGAAACTCAGGGGGAGATACAGAGCAATAACGAGACTCAGAATGCTGAAGAATGAAATCTAAGGAAATGTTGGGAAAGCATCATTGTCTGAAACAAATCTTAGAAAAATACAAGGAACTATAACCCTCTAAGTTTGAAGTATCTTTGTGCGTGTGTTTTCTGACCATAATGGTCTTAAGTTGCTATGTTTAATGAAAAGACCATAATGGTCTATGCCTATTGATCTTGCTGTGTTATATTTTATCTTTTGAATAAATATATGTCTTATCTATGGATGATCTGCAGAAACATGTTTAAACGAATTTGTACAGATATGGAGGCTTGAACGCAGGGGGAGATTGTTGGGCCTTGCCTCTCTCTGACCCACTGAACAAAGAAGCCCACTAAGACTCAAAGCCCGCCAGAAGTTCAACGCGTCAACTATTCGAGTCAAGATCCCTAAAAGAGCGTCTTCGCCTCCATCCTCCATCATCAAAATCAAAACAGTCGATTGACGAGAGCTGGCTGGGAATCGCGCTGCAGCTCTCCTCCTTGATTACCAACGGTAAAGCTCATTGAAGAAGGAAGAGACAAGGAACAAAGCTTCTCAGCCTATAAAGAGACCACTCCTGTCATTATAGAAGAAAACGGTTTTCTCGACTTAGTTTGAACATGTCTGTTCTCTGGGAGTCGTAGGGTTGGGTTCAGTGTTAGTGTCTGGATAGCTTGAGTTGGGGCTGTGGCCAGGAACTCAAGCATATCTGTGCGTGGCTTCTATTTCTGCTTTCCTTCTTTATTTCGGTTCTTCAATTGGTGATGCTTGTAGTTCTGCAACTCTGAACTTTAGTCTTCTGGTTTATCGAATTAGTCATTCAAACAAAACGTTCTCTTGATTCAATTAAAATATGAAGCTCGGTCTCTCAATTCTGGTTGGTTGCGGTTATGGAATTGGTCTCATAGCTGTTTAACAGTTGAGAGGATAAAATACACACTAGCTTATATTTTGGTATTGATCGGTATTTCGGTATATACCGATCTCAATCCCGTAATCCCTAATACCGAATTACAATTAAAATTCAATCACAATCCCAAGAAAAATACGTATATTCAGTAATACCAAATATGGACAAATTCGGTACGGTATTCGGTATATCCCAATACCGGTACCAAACTTTCAGCCCTACTCAAATTCATGAAGCAAACGTACTTTAAATGACTTTTATTTTGTAGAAACACATATATGAGATGAGGAATGAGCTAGCAAAGGGTTGGGGTTTCATTGGATCTTCGCACTAACCAAATGATTCATGAGGATGCTCATATGAATCCTGGGTTGGGGCCTTGGGGGACATGTATCAAGCACTATCGCAGATTCATCATTATTATAATCGAATGTGATATCTACTAGGCCTGTTTGTTTAGAACGACATGTCTCCAGAAACTGTACAAAGAATATTATTTTCAAAATGCTCAGAATCGGTCAAAGGCGGTTATCCTCCATAATTAATGTACAAGAATCAGATGTGATTGTGCGGATGTTGAGGGCTAGCTACATGCACATTTCATGATCTCACAGCATGAGGCCATTGTTGATCTTAATTACTTTGTTCCAGGAAGGTAATTAAGATATGGACCATTAGCTTCAAAAGAGCAATTGACCATCGTCAAAGGGCAACATGGAGGGGGAACGATTGTTTTTCTCTCACTTATTTAATCGTTACCAACTAACTCAGAACGCACTAAATGGTCGGTCTAACCCTAAATTAGTTTGGCTAGTTCAACCCCAAACTAGTTTGACTCAGATTAGTCCAGTTCAACCAAGTATGTAAAATTGTCCAAAATCAGGAGACTAGAAATGTGAGAGTGGTGAACTACTTTTATTCTTTGAGAAGAATATTTCCACCCTCCGTAAAGAATTGAGTTACATGAAATTTCTCACAATGATAAAACTATCACTACTTTAAGGGGTTAATTGCATGGTTGGTCACTGAGATTACAAAAAATGTTCAAGTTTGGTCACTCGAAATATTTAATCATTGGTGGTACTTCAGTTTACTGAAATCGTTCACGTTTCGTCATTTTCCGTCCAACTCCGTTAACTTTTGCTTACGTGGCGGTCAACTCTAAAAGTTTACCGTTAAATGTGTGACGTGGCAATTTAAAATTAATAATATTAAATTTTTAAAATTGTCATTATCACTTTTATTTAAGATAAATAAATAAACCCTAATTTCTTCTAATCACAATCTCAATACAAAAACCTAACCCAGTCGCCGCCTCACACCTATCGTACGCCTAGAGGTCCGGCGAAACCCATCGAAACCGAACACGGAAGACGTCGGCGGGAATCTCGATCTCAACGACAACGTGAATTCCGCTCTCGTCGATTCCTTCTACGAGATCACCTCCTCCACCAGGCAGGAAGCCGCTTTCTTCCTCGAGAGCCACCAATGGGATCTCGACGCCGCCGTCTCCACCTTCCTCGACAACGATAACGCCAATGTCGCTGTCGCCCCTTCTTCTGCTGTTCCTGTTGCTCGCGCTGCTCCTCCGAATGGCAGTGGTGGCGGCGGCACTCCTTCTCCGACGAATTGATGTCTCCTAACTATTCCCCCTCCCAGTCTCCTAGTAGGTCTAGGTCACGATCCCGCTCCCTGTCCCCTGCTTCCGCAACTATGTCTAAGTTGCTGCCTGCTGGACTGCCTTGGTTGTGGGAAGATTTACAATGTGACGAATACTTTTGATTGGATGGAGCTGATTTCGTTACAGAAAGACGAATTTCTTTGAGAAGAGGGTTGGGGAATACCAGAAGGCTTCTGTTACGAATAGTTTGAATGGTATTGGGATTAGAAGAAATTAGGATTTTTTATTTATTTTAAATAAAAATGATAATGAGGTAGAAATGAGATGGTAATTTTAAAAAATTTAAATTTATTAATTTTATTAGTTTTAAATTGTCACGTCACACATTTAACGGTCAACTTTTGAAGTTGACCGCCACGTAAGCAAAAGTTAACGGATTTGGTTAGAGAGTGACCAAACGTGAACGGTTTCAGTAAACTGAAGTACAACCAATAGATTTAAATATTTCGAGTGACCAAACTTGAACGTTTTTTGTAATCTTAGTGACCAACCATGCAATTAACCCCCACTTTAAGTTCTAGCACTAAGACCATTAAAATAAATTTAAAAGTTTTTGGAAGAAAGAAATTCTCCATATAGGGCATGAGTTAGGCAAATGTGATTCTGAGAATTAATCAAGCGGAGCGAAGAAGAAGTTGCCTTGCCTTAATGTATCTAGATTGAGAAGATAAATGTTAGATTCCATTGTGAAAATTGTCTGTGAGTTGAAGCCTTCAATGGTTCCAAGTGTGAAACTTATGGTTAGTATTATCAATCAGTTTCACAATTGGAGTTGTCCAAAGTAATTGGGTGTTTGATGTGTACAATGAGCAACTTAAGATCAGATATCACATATGTGGCAGGACAATTCAGCATAAACACATACCAGTCCATGAGAATGCACTTGAGCTGGTTGTCTGTGATTGATGAAGCATCATCTCCACTATTGTTGAGATTTAGGAGAATCTGCAGGAAGTCCTTTGTCTCTTTGGCCTCACCTTCTGTCGCCAAGACCAACTTCCTCTCATTGATTATGGAACTGAGGATTTGATCCAGACTCTCTAACACTGTCATGGATTTCTTCTCTATCCCCTGCAAATCCAATCTGGCAAGTTGGTGGAATGAAGCCGGAGATGTTTGGTGTGCCTAATAGCTCCATCCCTATGCTTGCTAAATCTAGGATCTCTGGAAAAACCCTTTCCCCTTCGCCTCCATCGATTGTTCCTCCCCAGAGCATGCTCATGACAGTGCTGGAAACGGTCATAAACACCCATTGGCCAAAGTGCAAAAGGTTTTCCTCTCCAAATAAACCGTCAAACATATAATTGACATTAGAATCAAAAGTCGAAGTATACGTAGTGATCGACATCTTCCTATTGTACAGCCGAGGTGGTAGAAGTTTTGACAACATCAGTATGCAACTGAGAGAGAAGTTTAAATGTTACAGCACCAGTGAAGGAACAGTTATGGAATATGTTCCAAGTCTTGCCGCAGGAGATTTTTTCCAAGTCCTTCCTATGTTTCCTTATTGTTCTTACGGACTCTTCTTATTGATTATCTCTACCTCAATGTTCGTTTCTCATATTTTGCGCTATGAGCACATTCTCACAAACGCTTTATAAGCACCATAACTATCTTGAAATTGAGTTGGGGATTTCTTTCGGGTGAGTGGTTACAGATTTGATAAATTGAATTGGTTTTAATTCTCATCGAATAGTGATGGAAACGAAGTGAATACCTCACTACTCATATACGTTCGATATTATGTAAGAGTTGGTATGAGTAGTTTTCTTACGAGTACCCTCTAAATCGCCACCTTAAAGCTCATGTTAGCGTACATATAACCTGAAAGAAAGGGGGGAAATAGGTTGAGTAATTTTCAGAGGCAAAAATCAAACCGCTCGTGAGCAGTTCAAACTCATTTGTAGTCTACACAATCCTTTTCACTTAATTCATTTGGAAGCGGGTTGAGTTGGATGTTGATGGATTGGGTTAGGAATGAGGGTGTGCATTGGTTCGGTCCGGACCGGACCTGACCAAACTAATGAGAACCACGGTCCATTTTTGAAAGACATCTTATGATCAAGGACCGGACCATCATTGCATTTGGTCCGGTTTGGTTCGGTTCAAAATATGAGTTCGGTCTATCATTTCTTCTGTAATTGCAAAGTTTATGGGGACCGGACCGTTTTATACTCAATTCAGTACGATCCGGTCCAAACACCAATTTGGTCCGGTGCAGTCCGGTACGGGACCGGATCATTGCACACACCTACTTAGGAGCGAGTTGAAAAGATGGATGCATGAGTTTCAGTTGGGTGATTCTGGCGACACTGGCTCACAGCGAGCCAGTTGCCAAGTTAGCTCAACCGAACCAGTTAGATTTAGATGGAGTAACTGTTTTATCACAAAAACAAACTAAGGAAACGATTACCGACTCACCACCAGATAGGAAATTCATTCAGTGTAAGCTGAAGAAAGCTTGTGAAGATTTGTCAGTGTACTTAACTACCATCAGAAGAAGATATCATAGATTTGCTCACATCAAGCAGCCGACGTAATGAGATCGAGGGTATTTCCTCTGCAGTTGGGGCCATTGCACAAAGAACTGATCAGCTATGCGCAGTTTGTAAAGCAGTAAACCGCTTAGAGACAGCTTCTTCACTCTCGCTATGCTCTCGACATAAAAGATACATGACCATCTAATCCCCACCACCTGAAAACAAAACCTTCGGATGAGTTACAACTTACAAGGCAATATTTTACAAAGATCGTAGAGCGGTTGAAAGGGGGCAGAGAATTCAGACCTTGAACAAAAACGCAATCACACACAGAGGTACACACGTCCCAGGGCCGTTGCAGAGTACCTACGATTTTAAGAAATCAGAGACTCCGGAAAACTTAGTCTAGTTGTGCTTTCAGAAATAAAAAGGAACTTAACTGCAACGACAAGATAGTGGCAGAAAGTTTATACCACTTCCGGCCTGGTTCGAAGCATTAACCATAGCGCATGCGCAATGGCTATTAGGGTTGTCCCGATAGAGGTTATGTATGATTGACCGACTTCCCTGCTTCTGTATATCTGCATAAACTCGGCAGGTACCTTCTCGTCCTGATTCTGCCGCCGAGAAATGATTCTTAGTTACATAATTCAAAGGTAAACAACATCAACACTAACAGGGAATGGGGATTGGGGACTATCATATAGTTGCCACTTATAGCTAGTTTCAGGTTAATACACACTTGCAATGGAGTAGGAAACCAGCAACCACTAATCTGTGGCTCTGGAGCAATATTTTATTCATCCATCAATATGCACCATTGACAAGTCCCAGCAGGAGAAGAGACGATCATGATGGAACCTATAGCGATTAATTCGACGCACAATATAGATCCATATCTCAAGTTCCTACTTAACCTAAGATTAACGGATACTGGAAGCAGGTTCTCTTGTGAAGTGATGAACAATCAATGTTCAAGAAGACGCTAGGCGCTATCTAGGCGAGGAGGCACCGCCTAGCGCCTAGGCCGATTAATTGTTGCCTAGGCGAGATTAAACGTTGCAAAAAATACGATAGATAAGCCATATTCCACAAAAACCCAAGTTGACATATCATTATTCATCCATTCATATTCACATACAACCCTTTTCCACAATCCCAAACATCCCAAGTCGCCAACAATGAGGAAGGATCTCACTGTTGGTCGATGAGGGGGAGCGGCTGGTCGAATGGAAATGGGAAATAGAATAGGGTTTGAGATTTTCAAAAAAAAAGGCTACACTTTCCCCCTTTATTAGTTGTTATGGGCGTCGCCCACCAGAGTGAAAACGCGCCACCGAGTGCCTAGGTGCCTAGATCAATCGCCCAGGGCTAGACGGGGCGATTTGGTCCTGCCCAGCCATTAATCGCGCCTAGGCGAGAGATTAATCGCGTCTTCTTGAACACTGTGAACAATCAATCAAGTCCGACTAGGACAGTTGTTCGTCTCAGCAATCCAGAAACAAGCAAGAGTAACATACCTCGTCAACTAAAGAGTCCTCCAAGACTCGAGCTTTTTGCAGACTCATACTATCAGTGGCTGCAGCTATATAAAACCTAGGAGTAAACCTGTATTTCTGCATCACGGACAGTATATTAATCATTTCTGCTGTATGACCTCCTGCATTAACAAAGAACAACACAAATTCCAACCTTAGAAACTGAAGAATCAAACAGTCAATAAATCCACATTCTTTCAAGAGTTGATGAGCTAGCTCCCCTACCTGAACCCAGAACAATCAAAGTACTCCGCGGGTCTGAAGATTTTGAGGACAATGGCTTCCCAGTTAGATAAAAGACATAGGCCACTCGAACCACAACCATCAGCAGGAAGATCGTGATCATAGTTGCAATAGAGAAGCAACAGTGATGTTCTCCCTCCATATCCGAATGGAAGGGAAGAACCAATGACCTAGACCAGTAGTTGTGCAAACCTGTCGCCCAGGGAACACTCAAACTAAGCAATTTGATTCATCAACACACCGATTTTCACATTGCAGCACACGGATTATATATTCCATCGAGAAAATGAAATGTCCCGGAGCACCAATGTCGATTGAGAAATTATCAGCTCAAAATAGCCTGGAAATCCACTCTACAGATTAAGAGGTTCGGAATTAGAGATGATACCGCGGCCGCGGCGGACGACCAATCTCCTCTACTTAAGACAGCAGAGACGTTGGACGATGAAGATGGGCAAGCTGCGCAGGAGGGCGGCGGCGCTGCCGACCTCGCCCTCTTATTCTTCTATTTCCCGTCTTTTCTGCAGACCAGATGAGAATTCGAAGCGAGCGTCGAGAGCCGGTGACGGCGCCGAACAGCAGCTATTAAGGATCTGGTCGACGTTAACTATTTAGCATTCCGTCCTCGCCAGGCTCTCTTCTTCTCTACCTCTACGTTGTTCCTAATGGAGCGTCTAAAGGAAAGTAAACCGCAGACCGGAACGACAGAATCAGGCAGAAACGAACGCGTCCGGCCGCACGTCGCCTATGTGAATCGCTCCGATGAGACCAATTCTTCTTTCTCTTTCGTTTTTCACTTTATCTTCAGCAATGCCCTTTTCTTATTAAAAGTAAAAAACACATTTTCACCAGAACAAGAGCAACGACGACTGCCGCTTGTATTTAATTAATAACTCTTCCCTTTTCATCCGAGACATTTTCATATCTTTCAATCGAGTCCAAATAAAACCGGTCTAGTTTGAAATTTGATACTAGCGAAAATAAAGAATAAATAGGAAGAACAAAGGTAATCATGTATTGTGAGTTCATACAAAAATTATCATCAATCAGTAGTGTCAAACTGTCAATCATACGATTCGAAACCAAATGAGAAAATTCACCAATCGCGTAACTAAGCAAAATCATAGATAGCTCGATGAATAGCAGCAAAATCTACATTTAGAGGCTGCGACGAACGAATGTTTTAGGCTTCAATTTCTTAAGCCTGTCAATTCCTTGAATCTCCAAAAACCAGGAGACAAACATCTAACAAAACCCCCCAATAGACAATCGAAGGCTCCCAAACATACATTGTAATCTGGGGTTTAATTGTTCAGATTATTTTCCATCGTCTCATTCTGGCAGTTAGCTCCTGAATTCCCTGTATACTACTCCAACATGTCTCTCCATCCGGTAAAACGCATACTCACTTATCTCCATATCCTGCTTGCTGCTTTACTCTCTGAACGCATTCATAATAGTTCTTGGTGAGAGAGCTGCACCTAAGGATATCGTTAATATGCTCCTTGTAGCACGCCCTGCACGCTTCGTAGTCAGGCATGCAAGGCATTGGCTTCTGGTACGGGAGCTTGAATTCCTTGCCGTGCAGATCTTTGGCTCTCTCGGTTACTTTTTGCACCATGCGTTCCTCCTGCTTCTGCAACTTCTCAAGAACCTTCTCACTGTCTAAAACCACCGATCGAATTGCATCCAGTTCAGCACTGGCGGGGTGAACAGGTGGTTGAACCGGCAAGAGAACTGGCCATCCGGCAGCAGCTGGCGGCGGCAGCGACAACTTTCTATGATTAGGATCATCATCGCGCAGCTGCTTCACATTCATCTTTGGTTGAGAAGGTGGGCGAGGCTGTTTTGGTACCTTTTGTCTCGGTTTATTTGTTGTTCTCTTTCTTTACTTTCTCATCAGAACCAGCAAGCCGATCAACGAGCTCCTTGGTAATATTAATTGTGAAGACCCCCATGGTACAAACTCCACCCCGAAAAAATTATCTGCAAAAGTTAATTGAACAATTCAAGCCTGATCACAACATTGAACTTTCTGAACATTGCAGCCTCTTCCCACTTATGAAGAGATGGTTTTATCAAGGGGAGTGCTAAGACAGTTCAAGGTCAATGGGATGCACTATAACAAGTAGAGATTAAGAACAAGAGCATAGCTCTATGATGAGAGCAAAAAGAGAGAAACTTGACCCAAAACGATACAGAATTAAACAAAGAAAGGAATACCCAAAGTGGCAGGATCTGCATCTGGAGCTGAACCACAAACTCATTCCAATTACCAAAAAATTTGCAAAGTTAAAACGATAAAAAGGAGACAGCCAATTTGTACCGATGATGAAGCTGGGTTCAGAAGCATTGGCGCAGGATATGTTTCCTACTGCTAACTAGAAACATAAGCATAGAAACCAGATGAGACTCCTCCCGCATTCAAGCTTTCTCGTCTAAATCTAATGGTAGGGAATTTTCTGGAGAACCAAACAGCAGAAGAGAACAATCTGCATCCAAGCAGCAAGGCAGAACAAACATGGAAAGAGAAGCGAAAATTCAACGAGTCCCCTTGTTGGGCCATGGGGGATCACCATCTGGATCAATGACCCACGTAGTAGAAGATGGATAAAAGGCCAAGGTAGCCGAGGTAACAGGGAAGTAGGCCCAATAACCCAAAAGCTAATGTTAGGGACCAGAGGGACCGAGACGGCCCAAGGAGGGAAAGCCCACGGGAGCTCGGGAGAAAACAGGCCGGCCCATTACGTCAGGAGGCAAGGGGAGAGCGTCCCGCGCGGAACAGTTGCGATAGGTGGAGCCGGGACTGACAGCATTAAATGCCGCCGTAAGCGTACCTCGTGTAGAGGAGTACGAGGTATGTGTGACAAGACAGTGTGTGCAGGCGCCAATAACCAGGGGGTATAAATAAGAGCTAACAACCTCATTTATGGTAACTAATTTCACTCTCTCTCTACAATCTCTTTCCCTATTCTCTCTCTGAATACTAATTAAAGCATCGGAGAGTGTCCCCGGGCCACGCCCCCGGACCCTTTTTGCAGGAAACGGTGTGTTCTTTCGTCTCGGGTAGATTATCGATCTTCTCAGCGGTCTTCACAACCCGCCTGGCACTTTCTAGGCGTAAACAATTTGGCGCCCACCGTGGGGCCGAAGAGATTATCGTTTTCTTTCTCGAGATGTCAGGGAACTCCATCACTCCCCTGAAGGAGGTTGTTGAGCCTATAACAATGCGTGGCCTAACTCCGAAAGTCGAAGAAGAAGTGGAGCTCGAAGATAGGGTTCGAAGTCAGGGAGAGCAGATAACGCAGATGCGGGGCAGCATCAGCCAGATACTATCGTTAATAAAAGATGGAATGAGGCGCGAGGAGGCGCCAGGACCGTCCGCGAAGGAATAAGGGGAAGAAGAAGGTGGTGGAAGTGGAGGATTCGGAAGGTGAAGAAACGGATGAGGAGAGAGCAGAAGCAGACCTGAGTTTCCTGGAGGAGCATATGCGGCCTAGCTTTGGGAAGGAGAGCGGAAAGTCTAAGGGCCCGAGCATTCTACATAACCCACTCTCCAAAAAGCTGTTCCGGAACCCGGTTCCCCCCAACTTCTCATCGCTGGGCCTGCCTACGTACAGTGGGGAGGCAGACCCCAGCGACCACCTGAGTGCGTTCACAATGAAGATACAGCTAATTAACGCCACGGACGCGGACCTATGCAAGGCCTTCCCTGTAACCTTCGGGGGAAGGTGCCGGGCGTGGTATACCTCGCTCCCCGAGGGAATTATAGACAACTTTGAGCAGTTCACCACGCTGTTCACGTCGAAGTTCGCTTCACAAATCCGGAGGCGACTCACTGTCACTGCACTGATCAATTGCACGCAGGGGGAGGGAGAAGCCTTAACCAGCTTCTATGACAGATGGAACACTATCGCCTGTGAGATACAAGGCGTGACCCCAAATGTTGCAGCCGGAAGCTTACGGATGGCCACTCGAAGCAAAGAGCTCCAGAGGGCTCTAATAAAAAAGGAACAAGACATCAGGACTTGGCCTGATCTAGACAACTTGGTACGGCGGGCAATCATGTTGGAGGAGGCATTGGCCCCAGCGGATCGTGGAGGAAGAGGAAGGGAGGCGAAGAGAAACTATAGGTCTCCGCCTCGAAGAGGAAGAACCCCAGAGCGACATGGCTACAAGGCCAAAGCAAGGGGCGGAGAAGGCAAGAGGGAAGTCTACACAGTTGGTGACAAGGATGAGGCCCCTCGCCGGCAGCCGCGAGAAGACAAGGTTCGGTACGATAACCAAAGGCGTCCAGAGGCTCCCGTGTTCAGAAGATGGTGCGATTGGCATCAGAAAACGTCACACAACACCGTTGAGTGTCGCGACTTTCTGTTGAGCCTTACAAACCTCGCACCGGGAGATCTCCGAAGCAGACTAGAGGCTAAAAAAGAGGAGCGGGCTAGGTCACCCACCCCCAAAAGGTATCGCAGCAGGTCCCCGAGACGACCCCGCTCCAAGTCCCAAAACAGGAGGTCTAGGTCACCCCGGAGGCGGAGGTCCAGGGATCGGAAAGAAAGAAGACTGCCATCCCCGCCTAATGCGTCCCCACCAAGGAGGCAAACTCGCTTGGATGAAGATGATCTGGAGATAATAACAATCTCAGGAGGCAAAAAACGCTCACGAGTCGCAGACGGAGGTGCCGAATGCCTGACGATTGCCCCCACAACTGCGGAGGTAGTATTTGGAGCGTCCGAACTCACCAACACGGAGGCCGCCGAGGACCCGCTTGTCATATCATTTCGCACTGGGAGGTACAGGGTCACGAGTACTCTAATTGACAACAGGAGCTCCGCCGACATCCTATTCTTCTCGACACTCAAAAGCATGAAGAAGGGAGTGGAAGATCTCAAGCCGTCCGCCACACAACTGGTGGGGTTTTCGGGCTCGAAAATAAAAGTGTTGGGTGTCGTCACTCTGAGGGTAACCATTGGCGAGGGGAACGTCACTAAGACCAAGTCTATGGATTTCTACGTGGCGGACTGTCCGTCCGCATATAACGCCATCCTGGGGCGTAGTTTCCTTTCGATCTTCGGAGCGGTGGCATCCACCTGCCACCAAAGGCTGAAGTTCACCGTGGGAGACGGAGTGGGATGCGTCAAAGGGAACACCCAGCAGGCGCGAGAATGTTACCAGGCGACCATCAGACAATTGGAAGTAGACTTGGTCGATACAAGAGGCAACAACCCGAGGCCGGAGGCGTTGGAGGAAGACGTGGCTGTACCCCTAAGAGACGAGGAGCCAGAAAGGACGGTGCGGATATCAACACAGTTACAACCCGAGTTGGCTGAAAAGATGATCATCCTCCTGCGGGAATTTTCCGATCTCTTTGCATGGGGGCCAGAGGATATGCCGGGCGTGCCACGGGAGCTCGCAGAGCACCACTTGGCAGTAAAGCCAAACACCCGCCCGGTCAAGCAAAAAAGGAGGAACATCTCCGTCGAGAAGCAAATGGCCCTGGAAAAAGAGATACAGAAACTCCTCAAGGCGGGGTTTATCAGGGAAGTGCGATACCCCACCTGGCTGGCAAATCCCGTATTCGTCAAGAAGAGCTCAGGTCTGTGGCGCATGTGCGTGGACTTCACAAGCCTGAACAACGCCTGCCCGAAGGATTCATACCCGCTCCCCAGAATCGATCGCCTCATCGATGCAACCGCCAATCATTCCATGTTGAGCTTCCTGGATATGTTCTCTGGATATCACCAGATAAGCCTCGCAGAAGAAGATCAGGAGAAAACGGCGTTCATGACGGCAACGGGAAACTACTGCTGGGTAGTGATGCCCTTTGGCTTGAAGAATGCGGGGGCAACATATCAGAGAATGGTGGACGCCGTGCTACGCACCCAGATAGGGCGAAAAGTAGAAGCATACGTTGATGATGTGCTAGTGAAAAGCAGAGAGACGGGAACGCACTTGCAAGACCTGAGGGAGACGTTCACAAACATGCGAGAGCATGGCTTGCGCCTCAACCCAACGAAATGCGTGTTCGGGGCGGAAGCGGGCAAATTTTTGGGCTTCTTGATAACGAAGCGTGGTATTGAAGCCAACCCGAAGCAGATTGAGGCAATCTTGCAACTCAAAGCTCCAAGAACAATCAAAGAGATACAAGCCTTCAACGGGAAAATGGCCGCATTAAGTCGGTTCATACCTCGCTCAGCCGATAAATGCTCCCCATTTTTTCAAGTCCTGAAGAAATCGGCGAGTCGATTCGATTGGAGTGAAGAGTGCGAGAGAGCCTTCCTCCGGCTCAAGGAGCGGTTGTCATCCCCCCCAGTACTCAGCGCCCCCATCAGCGGGGAGCGTCTTTTTCTGTACTTGGCGGTATCTCAGCAGGCTGTTAGCTCGGTGCTAGTAAGAAGGGCGGAAGACGGCAAGGATCAGCCAGTGTATTATGTCAGCAAAGCATTACTCCCGGCAGAGACAAGATATTTGGTGGTCGAAAAGGCAATCCTAGCCGTGGCTATGACGGCTCGAAAGCTACGGCCCTACTTCCAGGCTCATCCTATCACGGTTCTTTCCAACCTCCCCCTTAAGAAAATACTGCAAGGCATGGACGCCTCAGGAAGAATGACGAAGTGGGCAGTAGAACTCAGCGAGCATGATATCTCTTACGCTCCTAGGCCAGCTATTAAGGCACAAGTCTTGGCAGATTTTGTTGTCGAAGGATTCGCTCTCGACGAAGGAACACCAAAGGTGGATGCCGAGTGGAAACTGTTCGTAGATGGGGCGGCGGGCAAAGGAGGAGCAGGCGCGGGAATAGTTATCGAAACGCCAGAGGGCGTTATTCATGAAATCGCCTTGCGTTTCGAAGCCTTAAAGACCAACAATGTGGCTGAATATGAAGCGTTGGTGAACGGGCTGAGGCTGGTCTCATGTATGGGGGCCAAAAGAGTCAGGATCTACTCAGATTCGTCACTAGTGGTGGGACAGATCAATGGGAACTTTGATATAAAGGAAGAGGAGTTAACGAGGCTAGCCGGGAAAGCACAGGAAGTACTAGCACAGATGGAGGATTGGGCGCTGGAGCACGTCAGGCGTGAAGGAAATTCGCACGCCGATGCGTTGTCCAAACTGGCCACCGCCATGGATTTCGAAGGAGAGAGGCAAGTCACAGTAATGAAAGAAGTAGCAGTCGTGGGGGGTTCGACAGCCGCAAGTCATCAAGATTGGAGAAGCCAGGTGATCGGGTTCCTGGAAAACGATGAGATACCGGAAGATGTCGCAGCGGCCAAGGCTTTACGGAGGAAGGCCACACGGTACACGATCGTGGGAGGAGAGTTATACAAACGATCATTCACGGGCGTTTACTTGAAGTGTTTAGGGACCGAGGAAGCAGAGGAAGTTCTTAAAATGATCCATATGGGAACTTGCGCCACCCATGTCGGTCCCAGAAGCCTTGAGAGAGCAGTTCTCTTGCAGGGATATTACTGGCCTACAGTGAAGAAAGACGCCCTCAAAATGGTCCGTGAATGTCACGCGTGCCAAACACATGCTGATAGGCATCACCAACCCGCGTCCGAGATGAAAGGGATTGTAAGTCCCTGGCCATTCGCGAAATGGGGATTGGACCTTCTAGGACCTTTCCCCAACGCGCCGCTGGGAAAGAAGTACTTGGTAGTAGCTGTCGACTACTTCACCAAGTGGATAGAGGCCGAGCCTCTAAAAGCCATTACCAGCGCCCGGGTGCAGAAGTTTATATTCAACAACATCCTGATACGCTTCGGCATCCCCGAAGCCATTGTGACTGATCACGGGACACAGTTTGACTGTCACCCGTTCGAGAAGTTCTGCCAAGGGTACGGCATAAAGCTTAACTTCGCCTCAGTTGCATTCCCGCAAGCAAACGGGCAGGTGGAGTCATCCAACAAGTTGATATTGCGGGGGCTGAAGCGAAGACTAGGAGAAGCAAAGGGAGCGTGGACTACCGAGCTCCCCCACATACTTTGGGCACACAGGACCACGCACAAGACTGCAACGGGGGAAACACCATTCGCCCTCACCTACGGATGCGAAGCGGTCGTTCCAACCGAAACTCAGCTCCCAACGCTCCGCGTTCGAGCATATGACCCCGAGGAAAACCACGCCAACCTGCTGCACCAGCTCATCATGACAGAGGAAAGGCGAGAAGCAGCTCTAACTCGCACGATCGCAGAGAAAGAAAGGGTGGCAAGGACGTTCAATAGCAAAGTACGCCCACGACCATTAGAGGAGGGTGACATGGTGCTCAAGAGAATGTTCGAGAAGAAGGAAAAAGAGAGGCACGGGAAGTTAGCAGCCAATTGGGAAGGTCCGTTCCTCATAAGCGATAAAATTGGGCCAAGCACTTATAAATTGGCAACCATGGGCGGAGAGGCCATAAGCAAGACATGGAACGCGCTACACTTGCGCAAGTACTTTTCGGCAGATTAAATGTAACCTCGCTTCAATTATTCAATACAAGTACTTTTCGGCATCATAACAATCGCAGAGTGTACAACACATTCTGGGGCATGGGTCATTCAAAACGCTACCACGAAGCGGAATGCCCAACCCGCAACCCGTCCTGAGGGGCAGGGACTCGCTCAAGACACGCCACCCCGAAGGTAGAGCGAGATCCTAAAACGCATCGCGGGACATGGGTCATTCAAAACGCTACCACGAAGCGGAATGCCCAACCCGCAACCCGTCCTGAGGGGCAGGGACTCGCTCAAAACGCGCCACCCCGAAGGCAGAGCGAGATCCAAAAACGCATCGCGGGACATGGGTCATCCAAAACGCTACCACGAAGCGGAATGCCCAACCCGCCATCCGTCCTGAGGGGCAGGGACTCGCTCAAAACACGCCACCCCAAAGGCAGAGCGAGATCCTAAAACGCATCGCGGAACATGGGTCATTCAAAACGCTACCACGAAGCGGAATGCCCAACCCGCCATCTGTCCTCAGGGGCAGGGACTCGCTCAAAACACGCCACCCCGAAGGTAGAGCGAGATCCTAAAACGCATCGCGGGACATGGGTCATTCAAAACGCTACCACGAAGCGGAATGCCCAACCCGCCATCCGTCCTTAGGGGCAGGGACTCGCTCAAAACACGCCATCCCAAAGGCAGAGCGAGATCCTAAAACGCATTGCGGGACTTTGGACATTCAAAACGTTACCACGAAGCGGAATGCCCAACCCGCAACCCGTCCCGAGGGGCAGGGACTCGCTCAAACACGCCACCCCGAAGGCAGAGCGAGATCCTAACACGCATCGCGGGACATGGGTCATTCAAAACGCTACCACGAAGCGGAATGCCCAACCCGCCATCCGTCCTGAGGGGCAGGGACTCGCTCAAAACACGCCACCCCGAAGGCAGAGCGAGATCCTAAAACGCATCGCGGGACATGGGTCATTCAAAACGCTACCACGAAGCGGAATGCCCAACCCGCCATCCGTCCTTAGGGGCAGGGACTCGCTCAAAACACGCCATCCCAAAGGCAGAGCGAGATCCTAAAACGCATCGCGGGACATGGGTCATTCAAAACGCTACCACGAAGCGGAATGCCCAACCCGCCATCCGTCTTGAGGGGCAGGGACTCGCTCAAAACACGCCATCCCAAAGGCAGAGCGAGATCCTAAAACGCATTGTGGGACTTCGGCCATTCAAAGCGTTACCACGAAGCGGAATGCCCAACCCGCAACCCGTCCTGAAGGGCAGGGACTCGCTCAAAACACGCCACCCGAAGGCAGAGCGAGATCCTAAAACGCATCGCGGGACATGGGTCATTCACAATGCTACCACGAAGCGGAATGCCCAACCCGCCATCCGTCCTGAGGGGCAGGGACTCGCTCAAAGCACGCCACCCCGAAGGCAGAGCGATATCCTACAAAACGCATTGCAGGACTTGGGACATTCAAAAAGCTACCACGAGAGGAGGGAATAAACGAACACATCAACAAAAGGATTCAGTTTTAAGGATAAAGGAGCCCGCTTTGAAGCGGGCAATGTCAAGAGTACTGAGAAATAATATTACGAACCGAGTTCCAGTCGAGGACAGACTCGACAAAATAAAAGCAGTAAACAGGACATCTTAAGACTTATCTCCACCCCGGGAGCTAGCTTCATCACCTCCCGCTTGCACGTTCAGGTCCTTCTCAGAGTTGACGTCATCCGCAGAGGAACCCCAAGCAACCACCGAATCCCACACGGCATCAGTATCCCACTCCAAATCAGGATGCTCGCGACGAAACAAGTGACGGATCGAAGCCACGGTGTCACCAATAGCCTTGATACGTTTGGCATCATCAATCTTGCGAAAGGCGGGAGACAACAAGTACGAGGAAACCGCCAACTGGGTTGCAGCATCGACCTCGGCCTTGTGCTTGATCACGCTCTCCAATTGGCCCTTTTCCAGTTCTCCAACACGCTCGCGCAGCCGAGTAACATCCGCCTCCAATATCTCCTTGTCGGCCATAAGACTGTTGACCTTCTGAATTCCCCGTGAGAGATCAGCACGGAGTTCCTTAACCACCTCAGCATGCTCCTTTTCCAGGTCCGCCTTAGCCTCCGCCCGGAACGCAGCCCGCCCCTTGAGAGATTCCGCCTCCAACTCCCCAATCCTCTTCCGCAGCTTCTCCGCATCCGCCTCCACACGCAACGTGGCAGTGTGCAGCTTCTCGTTGGTCATCCCGATTTGGGACAAACCAATTCCAGCCTAGGAAAACTTTCTACGTCACATTTCCTTTTCCATAAAAGAAGAAAATAAATGAGTAGAAGTACGTACCGCGAGAAGGAAGCGGGCAGCGGTCCCCACCCAATGCTTGGCCGCGGGATCTTCAACCTCGGTATACTCAGGCGGCACAAGAAGCTTCCCTGATAACTCGTGAAGCATTTGGCGGGCACAGTCCTCATGCAGCGAGGAGTGGGGAGAAAAATCAACAGTCTCTGTCGGGGAGGTCGCCTTTGTCTTCTTCCGACCTTCATCATGCTCTTCCGCAGGACTCTCAGCTATCCGCTTCCCGGTGTCGCGGGCCTTGCGTGCCGGCTCCGCGTTGGCTTGCACGGTTAGCAACCCCCCTTCACCGATGGAGAGAGTGGCTTGACTGGTAGTGGTGGGAAGCCGGTTAGCAAGAGGCAAGACCTTCAGCGCAGCAGCAGCGGACGAAGCGGAGGGGCCTGGCTTGGGAGGAGCCGGGGAAGCGGAACCCATCCTTGGAACGGTGAGCTTGCCTCGCCGGGGAGGTCGGGCCATCATCGCCACGCTCCCGAAATTCATAACTGCAAAAAACAACCGGAATCAGAAACACAAGGTACAAGCATCCAATCAAAAGAAAGAATCAAAATCAACGACGCTACTGACCATCCCCGAAGAGTTCGGTCAAAATGGATCTCACAGAGTCTGGTCCCCCGGGCTTCACATTAAATGGCGAGAAGTTGGCGAGGCGGGCAACGTACTCTTTTTGGGAATCTAAAGTCCATAGTTTGGCGTCCCAATTTTCCTTCCGCCCGTAAGCATAGCCCGTCCTGGGTTCCTTATCCCCGGAATACCATTGTGATGTAGGCTTGGCATAGAAGAAATCCCTGAACCAAGCATTATCAAGCTTGGGCGACCCAGTCACAAACCCATAATCCTTGTCCCGCCGCCCAAAGGACCAGACATTAGACACCCGACGAAGGCCATATATGAGTCGGAAAGCGGCAAACGAAGGCTCAATGCCGACCCTCTTACAAGCGAGTTTGAAGGCGCAGGCGTGAAAAATGATGGTGGGTGACAGTCGACCGAGAGTACAGTTGAGACAGAGAAGAGTTTGAGTAATGAGAGGGTCCAGGGGGAAGCGTAGTCCACACTTCAGCTGCTCGGTGTATATGGTGATCCATCCCTTGGGACATGTACCCGCCCTGGAGATGGCAGAGGGGGCGGCGTACTTCCAGTCGGTTGGCAGCTGGTAATTCCTAAGGCGCGTGAGGATGGTAATGGGAGTCAGCTTACTGAATCTGTCCGGCCCTCGGTCAAACGCACGCGCCGGGACTTCCCGCTTCCCCCACATATGCTCATGCAGGCGGATTGAATACGTGTTATCAATCACGGTGCGGTAGTCATCACCGGAAGTATCCTCCGAAAGCTCAATGGACGGAGAGTCGGGCACCTCGGGCGAATTTTGCTCGTCAAGACTAAGCCCCTCATCAGAACTCACGCTCGCTATGGAGACGTCATCAAAACTTGCCAGGTTATCCCCCATGGCGGAAGCGTCTCCCCTAGGTGCTACATTCTCTACGCCTAAACCCAAAGCAACATCTGTCAATTCATACGACCCGTCTTCGGACCTACCCAACAGGAACCGGCCGTCATCCGACCACGAACCACCGAAATCAAAATCTAAATCTACCCCGCTAAAATCCCAGTCAAAACCGACCGTACTAAAGGGCGATAAAGCGTTCAGATTGAGCATACCTTGGGCAGCGGCGATTATGGGATCCGTCACCGTGTCCGATGAGTCTAGGATGATCGGCATCGGAGCATTGGCAGTCGGCGGCGCGGCGACGCCGCCGGCGGGGGCATGAACGGCGGTGAGGGCGCCGGAGGTTGCTTTCTTCCGATTGGGCGAAAAACCCGAACCGGCGGACGGCGACGGGTGCGAGGAACCATCTCCAGCCATTGTCAGAAAAATGGATTATATCTAACCTCAGAAGACTAAGGGAGCACAGAGACAGTTACACAGCAATGATCACGGAAAAAAGACACCAGACAAGTTACAGAGCAGAATCGAGAAAGAAGAACAGGAAAGCCAGGAGCGAGAGAGAAGAAAGAGTACCTTCGTTTGATTTCTCCGGGGAGCTTTTAAACGACACGGCGCGATTTCCAGGAGCGACGGTTGAGAAACCCTATGGTAGGCTATATAGCCTAATCATGACAACAAAGAATTCCTGGCAGCGCGTCACTTCTAACCGTGGAGAGGCTGCGTCACACGTGGAGGTAAGAGAAAAAGCAATCTCGAGGCGTGCGGGCCCCGATTCGACGGCTGGAGGGAGAGATTCACAGGATAAGGGCGGTTCATTGACCCAGGGGGTGATCCCGCCCTAAAACACAGAAAATCAGCCGCCCAAACCCGGAGGCTTTACCCGCCTGCGGGACAAATGTTGGGCCGTGGGGGATCACCATCTGGATCAATGACCCACGTAGTAGAAGATGGATAAAAGGCCCAGGTAGCCGAGGTAACAGGGAAGTAGGCCCAATAACCCAAAAGCTAATGTTAGGGACCAGAGGGACCGAGACGGCCCAAGGAGGGAAAGCCCACGGGAGCTCGGGAGAAAACAGGCCGGCCCATTACGTCAGGAGGCAAGGGGAGAGCGTCCCGCGCGGAACAGTTGCGATAGGTGGAGCCGGGACTGACAGCATTAAATGTCGCCGTAAGCGTACCTCGTGTAGAGGAGTACGAGGTATGTGTGACAAGACAGTGTGTGCAGGCGCCAATAACCAGGGGGTATAAATAAGAGCTAACAACCTCATTTATGGTAACTAATTTCACTCTCTCTCTACAATCTCTCTCCCTATTCTCTCTCTGAATACTAATTTAAGCATCGGAGAGTGTCCCCGAGCCACCCCCCCGGACCCTTTTTGCAGGAAACGGTGTGTTCTTTCGTCTCGGGTAGATTATCGATCTTCTCAGCGGTCTTCACAACCCGCCTGGCACTTTCTAGGCGTAAACACCCCTGAACCAAAGTCTGCTATTGGGACAAAACCCTAACCAGTTCGTATCAATTGAAAACCATCCATTCAGTGTAGCGGTGACTGAAAACCAGAAGGAGCGTACGAAAATGGAATTAAATTTTCTTAACTGAAAGAAGAAAAAGTTGGGTAAAACTTTGCCGGCAAGACTCGGTTCAGGATGGCTCGAGGCACGTCGGCGATTCTTTCTGGTGTTTATTTTGGCGAGAAGATCGAGCTGTTTTCTCTTTTTTTTGTTTTTTTCGTCTAGGGGGAACTTTTCCATTCTTTCCGCTAATTCTATTTCTACCAGACTTTTGCCATAACGAGTTCGGGCTGTCTACGGATAGAGGTGTGCAATGGTCCGGCTGACCACATCGGACCAAACCGTTGTTAAGATCGGACCGGACCAGATTGAGTAAAATGTGGTCCGATCCTTGATCCTCATAAATTTTATAATTACTGAAGAAATAGTGGACCGAGCTCATATTTGAACTGGACCAAATGGACCAAATACAAGAATGGTCCGGTCCTTGGTCCTAACATGTCTTTCACTAATGGACTGCGGTTCTCATGAGTTTGGTTCGGACCAAACCGAACCGTTGCACACCCCTATCTACGGACATCTGCTGATTCGGTCCTTAACATTCTGATGGGCACAAAATTTAAGGCCCAATTAACCTGTTGACTTTGGTCGGATTCTCAACGTTCTGTAGGTTAGAGATGGATAATGGAGCAACGCCAGAATCATCCACCGGACCGGGGGCCGGGGCAGAGCTACAAAAGCCTTAGGGGTCCGACTCCCACGATACTAATAAAGCCGTGATGGCACTACAAAATCACTATTTACTTTTAAACAGACAAAATGAAGGACAAACGTAAGCAACGACCTAAGTAACTGTTGCCTCTTCACAGAACTATTTTTTTTTTTTTAATAGAACTATTGCCTCTTCACAGAACTATTAGAAACGCCGCAAAACAACACTGATCGTACGTAAGGAGAAAGTTGCATGCAGTTTGCAGCTGCCATATGACCATACGAAAACTCCCTATGATCTTTTACCAACGTGAGTTTATCGAAACGAGCAACAGTCAGAGTGACAACCACAACTCCAAGGCAAGGGAGATGTTCCATGTACAGTTGCTTCAGTTCAAACTTCCCAAAAACAGAGATCTAATGGGTTCAACACCAAGGCTCAAGGTATGATCTGAACAAGGACCACGATTAAGAAACTCAAGAGCAGCAACTGTTCACTTCGGTCCGGCAAATTTGCTCATCATTTTCGCGATTACGGGAGCCACCTTTGGGTTTGATTGGTGCTTCGCGAGGTTGGCAGGGTTCTTCGTAACTGAAATACACACAAAACGGTGGGAGAATCAAGTATGATACATTTATATTCAAAAACAAAAATAAAGTAAAAGTTTGAGGCCATGATTGGTTGCAATGGATTAATATGCCCAACCACCGACCAGAGGCTTAGTCGGTAAGGCAAAAGCAGAGCTTCATGACTGCTATGTGCAATCCAACTCTATTCCATAGCGAACAGACCTAAAAGTAGTTATCATCCTTTTTTTTTTTCTCTCTCTCTCTCTCTCTCTGAATGAAACATCTTTCAGCTATCTGGAATACGTAACACCTAATGTCTTGCAGCAAGTAAATAGGATGGCTTAAGAAGTAAAAAAAAGCAAAGCAATCTTAATGAAAAGGCCCAACTGTTATCAAAGTCTCAAATCTCCATGAGCCACGAGAGGGTTGAGCTTATTTGGCTTTAAGATTTGTCATTTCAGAGTTCGTTCATTTTACAGGGAAGTCCATATCTTCCAACTCCAGTATCGGATTAAACAGGAAAGTCCACATAAATGAAGAACCCAAAATTGGTAGAGTTCAGAATGGGACACAAAAACTAAGCAAAGAGACCTGAGACGAGAGCAGTGTGGAGTATTTGGCAAGATAAAAACACTTACCATCTTGAAGAGCAGCCATGATTTCTGGATCACTAAATGCAGCCATCATGTCAGGGTCCTGCCAATCATTGTATACGATTAACAGCATAGCTAACAGAAAGCAACAATGTAAAACTATGCAGCAGTTGATAAATTCTCCCAGTCAATACTAATTCGATGAAAAACCAATTTGAGCATTGTTAATGAATTCAAACACATGCCACTCCATCGGATTATAATCAGAATATCAGTCATGCAAGGCCATATCTATAAAAAGAGAGGGATGCACAAATCAAATGACATAGCAGCTAAGTCACCTTTGATAAATATACAAAGCAGCCTATTGATTAATTGGACAATACTCACATTCAGTATTTTGCTGAAATCAACATTTCCAGGCGCTCCACCTGGCATGCCACCAGCTCCAGGAAACCCTCCAGGCATACCTCCTGCACCTGGAAACCCTCCAGGCATGCCCCCTGCTCCTGGGAACCCAGGCATGCCTCCTGGGAAACCTCCAGGCATGCCTCCAGGGAATCCTCCAGGCATGCCTCCGGGTCTTCCAGTGGAAGATGATTGCTCTTGCTTCTTAGCCTTCTCATACTCGGCCTTCTTAGGCATCCCACAACCACAAAATTCAGAGACCAATCCAATGGGGGGAAAAATAACAAAAGATCACAGAGATGAAGGAAACACAAGGATATGGATCTTGGATAAATCCAAGGTAGGTAATCACTACTCACTTGAGCTTTAGCACGGCGGCGCTGTCTCTCCTTCTCAGCCTTTCTATCCTCCCTCTCTTTGCGTAATCTATCATACTTCCTACGGTGCTCCTCAAGCTTGTGTGCATTGGGTTCAACCTACACAGTAAAACAAGCCAGCAATTAACTCAACCTCCTCAAAACTAGGGCGAGCAAGAAACAGATAGACCACGCCACTACATTAGCACTGCATTATGGAAATCGAGCATAGGTGAGTGAACAATCAGACAGACCTTCTTAAGAACAGCGCTTATCTCCTCATCATAATCCAACTTCGATGCAACATGAAGATCCTTAGCAGCCTCCTCCCACTTACCAAGCAACGAGCATGCCATGCCACGAGCTTTGTACCCCTTAGCTGAGTCTGGATTTATCTGCCGATCAGAGATTGAAATGATCGCTTAAAACTTGAAACTTATGCTCAAGCCCAAAGAATTGTTGGTTCAGTGAACAACAAACCTTGAGAGCAGCATTAGCATCCCTAATGGCAGCATTGGGTTTCTTCATCTTGATATAAACAGTGGCTGTGATCATGAATACAGAAAATCAATCACGAGAACAGCTTAAGCAAGCAACACACGGTCTCCTAATGAACATTCAATAAAACAAACACCATACCTCTCGTCCCATACATTATAGCTGAGAGCGGATTAAGCAGGATAGCTTCAGTTAAATGCTCAACGGCATCTTCTAATTTCCCTACAGACCAAAAAACCAACAGATTCTATTACGAGACTTCATAGGCAGCAAGCCAGGCGCAAGCTAGCAATGAAGAAATGAACAATTATGTCATGCCTTCAGAGATAGCTTCCATAGCTTTGGCCTTGGCCTCCTGTGAAGCATCACGGTTTTCCTCAGTGACCTCTACCGACGAGTCTCCCATCTAAAGCACAACAACACAATTCGAAGAACCTCTCAATCACATAACAACAACTGCAAATCGAAAACCTAAGAAGTTCGTTGCATTACCTTCTGTGGCGGATCATTGTCAGGCTCGACAGTCTCGCCTTCCAGCTCGACATCCGACTCAATTATCTCATCCTCCTCTTCTTCCTCCTCCGGTTCCTCGACTGAAGGCGATTCCTTCTCCGGAATTTCCTCGTCGCTATCCTCGTCAACATGATTCTTCTGCAAACCACACACGAAATGAAACGATCCTAAAACGAACACAAAAGGCACAAACGAGGAAACCTAAAGAGCGGGAAGGACAAACATCGGACTTACCGATCCGGAGTAAGCAGCGGGAGGTAGTTTAGCACCGAGACTGAATGCACCAGAAAAGGCAATAGTAAATGCAGAGCCATAGAAGCAACAATCACAGAGAACTCAGCAGAGAAGCAAAGACAAGTAATATTACCTCTCGAGGTAGTCGCGGAAGAAGGAGAGAGTGGGATCGGTGAGAACGGAGGGATTGGACTTGCAGAGCTCGACGAAGTTCTTCAGTTCTTTGAGTTTGACGGCGTCCATTGCGAGAGCTTGGAGTTCGGAATTAGGTTTACGGGGGGAAGGGTGATGAGAGAAAGAACAGAGAGGGAGGGAATTTGCTCGATGGATTTGAAGGGTAAAGAAGAAGAACGGTGGAATGACGGGAGACCGGCCGACTAGGTTGGTTTTTGCTTCTTCTATTAGCTTTCTCGAAGACTCTGCAGTAAAATCAGTAACGCCCTAACGGAGAGATTTTGAAGGGGTAAAATGCAAGTTTGATCACTTGAATTATTATCACTAAAATTAATTTATTACATCTCTAATTATTCAAATTAGTTACACAGTCCACATTTGGTCACGGCGAAGTCTCCATCAGACGCAGTTAACGACATCTAGACCTGGCAATCGGGTCGGGTTGAGTAATTTCGGGTTGAGGACTTCAGTTACGGGTCAGGTCATGTTTGGTTGGCTGATTTCGGATCAAATATTGACTCAACCCATTCGATTTTGGGTCGTGTTACAAGTCATTTCGGGTTATGAGCATTCTCATAAACAAAATCAAACATGCTTCATATTTTCTTAATGGACACAAATTTTCACATACGCATGACAATAGTTTACCTAACACATGTCAATTAACATATTCTCAAATCCTCCCACACTAATGAAATGAAATACAAATTGCACAAATCGTCAAAAAACAATCACAAGAGTAATACTACTACAGTCTACAAGAAACACATGATATTTGATTATCTTTAAACTCCAAACATGTCATTCAAATCCTTGTGATTTTTTTAAACATCTCACAAATTTATGAGTGATTTTATCATTTTGGGAGTGATATATAAAATGGAACTGGTCTAACGGGTCGACCCGCTAACCCACCCAACCCGACCCAAAAAATCACAGGTTATCGGGTTCGGCTCATTCGAATTTCAGGTTACAAAAATTTCTAGTTTTGAGGCGGTTTCGGGTCGGGTTGTAATTTGCCAGGTCTAACAACATTCGTTAAGTGATGACATGGCAAACGAAAAGTCCCAGTCAACTTAATTTAACCTTAAAAACTCATCACCCGACCCGCCACATCATTTTTACCTGCCATGACAGCCTAACCTACCCAGCCTGCGAACCAACCCGAAACCCAACCCGCTCCACCATCCTCTTCCTCACTCTACTCATCAACCCTCCACCGCTGCTAGGGGTGGGTTCGGTTCGGTTATAACCAATAACCGATTGGTCAGTTACCAATTAACCGAACCACTATCTCCCCCTACCGAACACCGACCGACGCCAATGCCTCGGTTAACCAATAACCGACCGGTCGGTTATCGGTTAGTTGGTCGGTTAACCGAGATACCGAAAAAATGATGGTGGTTCGATTTTAACCGGGTAAAATTATTAGAATCTCCTAAAATGAAAGGTTCTAACTTACATTTCTACATCTAAATCACACACAAAGTAAAGTCTCAATCACTTTTACATAGAAAATACATCTAAATCACCAAATTAATGTCACAAATTCAACAACATAAAGTTATAAACTTCATAACCGGGTATTTTCGGTTATTTTTCGGTTATTGTCGGTTAACCGAATAACCGATTTTCAGTTACTCGGTTAACCGAAGTACCTATTAGGAGCTCCGACCACCGACCAAAGCATATAATTTTCGGTTAACCGGTAACCGCCGGTTATCGATTGAACCGGCCGGTTAACCGGCAACCGATAACCTAACCTCCATCCCTAACCGCTGCCATCACCACCAAGGTATCAACCCATCTTCTCCCTGCTCTCCACCTCCCTCTCCTCCAAGAACCCTCCACCGCCGCCATCACCATTCACCACCGAGACACCAACCCACCTTCTCCCCCTACTATTCCATACCCCACCCTCTTCTGAACCTCTCCATCTCCCTCTCGTTCACCCTCCACCGCCGCCATCACCACCAACCCACTAATTGCCCCATACCCCAATTACATTGTATCCCATCCTTCTCCCGAAAAGATACTCCTGATGCAACCTCCGTTATAGAGATGAAAATAGGGCATCTTCAGACCCAGAATCCGAAATCACAAACATCGCTAGACTCGCGTGTTGGTGTTCCAGGTCTCCCCTCCATCCCGACAAACAACATCTCTCCGACGACAACGGATGGCAGCGGGTGAGATTCTGGTCATTGCCTCAACAACACATTCGACTCGAATTCTCAGGAGAAATGAAATTAGATCTCAGTTCATGGCTCTTTCGATTCGTCTCTCTTATAGCAATCAACAACAACTCTAAATCCAAATTGACTAGAAGACCATCGTCGTCGATTTCTCGAATTGCCTTTTACCATTCGCCATCTGGGTTCTTCTCTGCTTGTTCATAACCATCCCTTTTTGCTCCATGAAGCAGACCAAACGTGACAAACCTCGGTGAGATGAATGATGAAGGTGGTTGCTTCATTCTCGATTCATCTTCCACGACCGCCATTGGAAGGATGAAAGGCGTGATATCTGCAGGAGGGGAGAGGGGTTTGGGAGATCATGGCCTCGTCGGTGAAGCTGCCTAATTCACCCCTTGAATTATTCGGCTTCGAAATCGATTCGCCCCTTAAATTAATTGCATGTTGGAAGAACTGATTCCTTCTCTTGCCGGAACAGGATGGAGATTCTACTAGTAGAAGAAGAGGCATAGACGGGTTAGAGGAAGAATGGGAAGGGTCATTGGGTCACGGGTTGAGATCGGTTGGGTTGGGGATTAGGAATTTAGGATACCGATTCGTGAAGCTGGAGCGGGAGCGAGAACAAGAGAGCGTTTATTTTGAAAGGATTCTACTTTTAGAGCCTCAAAAGAGCGTTAATATTATATTATTTAATTAAAATATTATTTAATATACTATCATATTTTGTACAAAATATTATTACACATCCAAGAAAAAATAAATTAAAGAAAGATCATTCAACAAATACACTCGTGTCAAGAAAGAAACACCTCTCTCTGTGGGCTGGATTAAGTTTTTTTTTTTTTTTATAGAAGGGCTGGATTAAGTTCAACGACCAAAGTGTTAGTTAGGGTTAATTGCATGGTTGGTCACTGGGATTACAAAAAACGTTCACGTTTGCTTACTAGAAATATTTAAATCCAATTTTGGTCACTCAAATTATTTAAATGGTTCAAGTTTGGTCATTCTCCGTCCATTTGCGTTAACTCTAGCTTACGTGGCAGTCAATTTTTATAGTTGACCGTTAAATATGTGAGGTGGCAATTAAAAAATTATTAAAAATAAAAAAATAATCTTATACATTTTCCACCTCATTATTACATTAATTAAAAAACAAAAAAAAAATTTGTCCACTGATAGAAAGAAGAAGAAAAAATTCCCAAAATAAAATAACATTTATTTTAACCATAAAAAGTAACATTTATTTCCCCAACCTCCATACTCTTCCCCCACCACTCTTTTCCGACCTCTCTTCCCAGTTCCCCCCACCATTAACCCTTCTCCAACCATTTCCATTCCAATCCCAAGCAATCCCTACCAAGAATCGAGCAGTGTTACCTCCTTAGTCGTCCGGTCCTCCACCAGCAAGACGAGCGAGTCCTCCAGCGGCTCGCCGGCGACAAAAATGATGTCTTCACTCCAGTGAAACGACGAGTTGTGATTGTTCTTCGAGCCGCGCCGAGATCTGACGGATTGGAAACCTAATTTACCTTTGATTCGGATCTCCGGCGCTGTTAGCGGAGGAAGATTGGGCGCAATGTTCAGATCTTGAGCTTCGATGATTGTGACTCGCAAGTACCACAGTTTTGGGGATTGATAGACCTTTGAACGGGTGTGAGCGACGTACGGCGCGTCGGAGCTCCACGCCTCCGCGAACGCGTCGTCCGCTTGAGTCCCGATCCAGACGGAGAGCTGGACGTCGCCGGAGACTCTGCCGGAATTTTGCGCACCGCCTTCGAGACGGTACCACTGAGGAGCGAGCAGACTGTCCGGCGGATCGCGGACGGGGACATCGAAAAGGTCGAAACAAATACCTCCGAGAAATTGCTCCGTCGGAGCGTCCCAAACAGAGATTTCCAGCGTCGTGCTCGCCGAGTCAGGCCTGTTGTGGGGGTGCGCAAAGACCTGGTTCCAATCGGGCGAGTCGGGCGGCTCGATGGGGCGCAAGTTACAGACAAAAAACATATATTTTTAATTAATGTAATAATGAGGTGGAAAATGTAAAAGATTATTTTTTTATTTTTAATAATTTTTTAATTGCCACGTCACATATTTAACGGTCAACTATGAAAGTTGACTGCCACATAAGCTAGAGTTAACGGAAATGGACGGAGAGTGACCAAACTTGAACCATTTAAATAATTTGAGTGACCAAGATTGGATTTAAATATTTTTTTTTTATGAATCAGTTTGGACTTCTATTTCATCAAAAATGGGAGAGTTACTTGTTGACAACACACCCTGCCAACTGAGTATGAAACTTTAAAGACAAGGAATCAGCACCTATCAGCTAACAAAATTGGACCATACACAAAGGATCCAGAAATAATTGTAAGTCACTCTTTACTCTACTAATCAAAAGGTTGGTATCCAGAACACCCTCATTAAACTTCAATCTGCACCTCTCTCTCCAAATGGAAGCAATCATGCTCTGCCAAATGACTCTTCCAGTATGACCTATTTCACTCTTCTGCTTAAACTTCAGGACTGTCCACTGAAGTTCCTCCAACCACTGGCTACCAGGTACTCGATTTGTATACCTGCGGAAAAGAGCAACAAACATGGAGCTGTACACCTCACACTCTGCAAACAGATGAGATCTTATTTCCAGATTCTGCAAACAAAACACACACCCATGATGTCCAGCAAGCCTCCAACTCTGAGCTTTTTCACCTGTTACAATATGATCATTGACCACAAGCCAAACCAGGAATTGGTTCCTTGGAATACAAGGCCCCTTCCAAACCAGAGAACTCCACTGAACACTTTCTTGTCTAAGTCTTATGTCCTCCCAGACTTTCTTAATTTTAAATTTTGTCATCAGCTCCCCCTTCCAATACACTCCATTCCCCTGTACAGACATCACATTCCTCAATTTATCTCTGCTTTTCAATAGCTTAAGCCAAATCCAACACCATGCCTTGTTAGTTAGAGTCCAGAAGTTAGCCCTCTTGATTATGTATTCCCATAGCCAAGCCACCCACAACGAGCCTTCTTTCATCAAAATGGCCCAGATGTGTCTAGTAACACAGGCAGAGTTCTAAGAAACCATGTCCCTCAGCCCTAACCCTCCTTCAGTTTTAGGAAAAGTAACTCTAGCCCAAGCTAGAACTGCTTTCTTGCGTGCACCAACACCCACTCCCCACAAAAAGTCACTACATAACTTTTCAATGGTTTTAATAACTGCTGTAGGCAGAATGAAGATAGACATCCAAAATTGGGTTAAGCTATAAAGCACAGACATAACTAATTGGAGTCTCCCAGCATATGTCAATGTCTTGGATTTCCAACTACTAATTCTTCTAGTTATTTTATCACCAAGGGAGCACAGGCAGCAACTGTTAGTTTCCCAACCAACAAGGGGAGACCAAGATATCTAAAAGGGAGAGACCCCAACTTATAACCAGAAAAACAAGCCATCCCTTCTTTCCATTGGTCACTCATCCCTCCATAGTACAATTCACATTTGGCAGGGTTTGATTGGAGACCAGACATTGTCCTAAAGATAGACAAGACCCTTTTGATACACTGAATACCCAGATTAGACCCATCAGAAAAAGTAGGAGATCATCAGCAAACATCAGATGAGTTAATCTTAGTCTTTGACACATAGGATGGAAGGGCATCAGATTTTGGTTGACTGCCTCATTCATAAGGCAAGAGAACACTTCCATAGCAACTGCAAACAGGTACGTGGATAAAGGGGCCCCCTGCCTTAGCCCCTTCCTGGCAGGGAAATAACCAACTGAACCCCCATTAAACCCAATACTTAGCCTAGGAGTTGTAACACACATTCTCAGCCATTTCAAGAACTTTTCAGGGATTCCCATAGCTTGTAAAACATTAAAAAGGAACCCCCAGTCAACAGAGTCAAAGGCCTTCATAAGATCAACCTCAACTAAAGATCTAGGGGAAATATTCTTTCTACCATACTTCTGAGCAAGTTAATGTGCTAGGAGAATATTTTCCCCAATAACCCTCCCCTTGACAGTACTAAGTCTGGTGGCTAAAATTTTAGCAATACACTTATAAAGAATATTGCAACAGGAGATGGGTCAAAAAAAATTCATATCTTCATGGTTCTGGCCTTTAGGAATAAGGGCAAGTAGAGTTGAATTAATACTCATGGGTATACTAGAGTCATTGAAACAATAGAGAATTGCATTAGTTACCTCCTCACCAATGACACTCCAAGCAACTTGAAAAAAACAGGCAGAAAATCCATCTGGGCCAGGGGCTTTCTCCCCATGGAAACCAAATATTGTTGATCTAACTTCCTCAGCTGTAACAGGACAACAGATCTCCTCCCCTTTTTCAGAAGGCAGAGTTTTCATCAATATGGCTTTTAACTGTGGAACTTCAGGAGGACTAACATCTTTATCCTTTCCCCCCAGTAATTTCCTATAGAAATCTTCAACAATTTTGGACATCACTTCAGTATCAGTAACCCTATTTCCAGATTCATCCAACAATGATCTGATCATGTTCCTCTTTTGCCTACTCTTAACAGAGTTGTGAAAGTAGGGGGTATTAGAATCCCCCTCCTTGAGCCATATTTCCCAAGATTTTTGTCTAAATAAGGACTCCTCAGCATCCTTTAACTCTTTGACCTCTTTGGACAATCTGATTTCCTCTGCAAAGGTATCATTAGCTGGAGACTTGAGAGCCTCAGCCTGAGACCCCAACAATTCACTTTCTTTCAAGCGGACTCGTTCACTCAAATCAGAATAAACATCCTTATTCAATCTCTTTAGAAATCCTTTGAGAATTTTAAGCTTCTTGCAAACTCTAACCAGAGGAGTACCATCCACTTGTTTCAACCAGGCCTCCTTTACCAGATCAAGAAAACAAGGATGTTTGATCAGAACTTGAAAAACTTAAACAGTTTAGGCATAGACTTAATTGAGCTGTCAGTGTTCAGATAGATAGGGCAGTGATATGAAACTGAAGGATCTAGCAATTCAATAGTGCTCGACACAAGATCCCCTAGCCACTTTACATTAACAAATACCCTGTCCAACCTTCGAGCAATTGGATTATCAACTTGTTTGTTTATCCAAGTAAACCACGGACCAGAAGCTTTATGTTCCTCAAGGTCACAATCAAATTGCCATTGCCTAAAGTCCACCATACTACTAGAGAATTAAGGTGATTTTGAAGCCTCACTGATGTCTCCAATAGCATTGAAGTCCCCCAAAACTGCCCAGGGAGCTGAACTTATCTTGAAATCCTTCAAATCGCTATATAGGATCCTTTGCCCCTGCTCCTCATTTGATGCATAAACCACCGAGAGAAAGAAAGGACTTCCAGTAGCCACCATAAGGTGAATAAATTGATCAGTCTTATGCAGGACTGTAAGCACTATATCACGCTTCCACAATAACCACAACTTCCCCAAACCATTACTGTTACTAGCTACCCTAAATTCCCAACCAGGAAACCTTTTATTTATCATCTCAGGAGCTTTATTTTGTCTAACTCTAGGCTCAAGTATAACTAGGATATCTATATCATATATATGTATTAGCTGTCTAACAGCTTTATGTTGACTGAAGCAGCTTGAAGGCCAAGACAAAGAATCAAATCACAGCTGGAAATAAGGTGGCTGCCCAAAAACAGTTAAGACAAGTTTTCGGGTCAAAAGAAGAAAGAATAAGAACTTGCCATACTTGAAGATTTCAAGGGAATTCAAATTCACAACAGCTACATTATAGCCTATAAAAGGCGATTTGAAGGAAGAGCAAAACCAACCTTTCAAGAGATCAACATAGCTAGCCAAGACAAAAGGGGGATTTTGTGAGAGTAGCAAGGTTGATAGGAAAGGGGGTTTTCTCAAAGGGTTCGGGGAGAAATGCTTTGAGGGTTAGTGTTGGGGAAACACTGGTTTCGAGTTGCTGGGGAAGCAATTCGGGTTTGAGTAAAGAGAGTTAGATCAATCGGGTAGAGATTGATCAAAGGGCTCTTGGGTAGATTGCTTGTAACGAAGAACGTCAACGCAAAATCATAGTGAATCGTCAGAGATCACACAATCGTGATTCTCTGACCGTGGAGTAGTCAGTATTGGGATCCTCATTCTCCCAATACTGGAAACCACGTAAAAATCGTGTGTTGGGGTTGTTTTCTGTTTTTCATTTTCGATCTGTGTGTGTGCCTCTGCCTGCTTTCTGTTACAGGTCTAACGCTGCAGGGAAACTCGGTTCTTGAGCCACAGGGAAGGCGACAAGCCTGGGCTGGGTTGAGGAACTCTCCGCACCAGGGTTTGGTCTACCTGAGTTTTCATTACCTGGGTTTATGGTGCTATTCGTTTAATCTGTTCTTGGTGTTCTTAGTCTAAATTGAGTTACTGGGCTGCCTTTGATCGAATAAGAGAGAAGGGAAATTGGTCTGTGTGTGAGGTGATCAGTACTCACCGTTTCACTTGTCTTCTCTGGTTGGGTCGGGCTTAAACTTTATAGTAGGAGCTGTGGACTATAAGTTCTCAAAGCCTGTTAGATTAGTAAGCCCGAGTGCTTGTCTGTGTTGAGAAAAGGCCCATTGTTCTAAGTGTTTGATTTTATCAAAACTCAGCCGTTCTGTTCTGTCTCTTTGAGTCAGGGTAGGGAATTGAAACCGTGGGCTGGGCTTCCGAGAAAATAACATTAATTTGAGAATTTGGGCTTATAAGCCCATTCGGGCTGGACGGAAGATTCAGAGGATTGATCTCCAATTATTTGTCTAAGTGAGGTTTATACTTGAAGTTATTTGCTTAGCCGAGGAGTTTAGAGTTTTGTGTAGAGGTTAGGCAATATACATAATTAGATCAAGGTTTACGAGATAAGAAGCACTAGGTACTTAACGTGCTAGATTAAACATTAATTCTGTCTCTTATCTTCACTTGTGTCTAACATTATCATTGAGCTTAAATTGTGGTCAAGTTATTTAGAAGACAGGTATAAAGTCTCGCACTCGACGCTATCAACACGTGGTATCAGAGCCTGGTTACCGTAGAACAAGTTTCAACGACCTCCGGTGCTAATCGAAATGGCGTCGGGTTCCAAGAATAATGCTCCACTCTATTTGGCTGACGGATTCTCTCAAAATCGGCCTCCCAGATTTGAAGGAGTTAATTATGGATATTGGAAAAATCGCATGGAATTATTTGTTGGATCTACAGATCCAAAACTCTGGGCTAGAGTTATCAAGGGTCCGTATGAGCTCAAGGAGGATCAAGAAAAATGGACAGACGATGACTTTGAGAAATTTCAGCAAAACTGCAAGGCAACTAATCTCATTTATTGTGCACTCGGTCCAGAAGAATATCACAAAGTTGCCGGTTGCAAGACTGCTAAGGAAATTTGGGATAAACTTCAGGTTACGTATGAAGGTACCTCTCAAGTCAAAAATTCTCGAATTAATTCCTTAAAACAGCAATTCGAGTTGTTCAAAATGGAAGAAGGAGAAACGATCCGGCAAATGTACGAGCGTTTCACAAACATTGTGAACAGTCTGGAGAATCTTGGGAAATCATATGAAAGTGGAGATCTTGTTCGAAAAATCTTATGGAGTCTCCCAGAGCAATGGACTCCAAAGGTAACTGCAATAGAGGAAGCTAAAGATCTAGAGAAGTTAGCTATAGATGAACTCATCGGGTCATTAGCAACTCATGAAGACAAGCTCAACAAGGGAAATCATGATAAAGGGAAAAAGGGGATAGCCTTCAAGGCTACCACATACAATGAAGACACAGAAGATCTCGATGATGTGGAGGATCAGGAATTGGCTCTACTAAGCAAACAAATTAGTAGACTACTTCGAGTAAGAAGAGAAAAACGAAGAGGAAACTTCGTCAACAAGAATAGAGAAGTTGAGAAAGAAGGTGGTACATCAAAATACCCTCAATCAAGAACTTTCCACAAAAGCAGGATTGAACAACTTCAGCCGGTTAAAGTTCAAAACACTACCGGTTGCTTTAGATGTGGAAAAACTGGGCATATCAAGGTTGAATGTCCCCTAGCAAGAAAAGAACGAGCCATGGCTGCAACATGGAGCTGTAGCTGATAACGATGTAATTGCACATATTTGCGCCCCTGGTTCTTATCCGTTTGAGAGGCATAGTCTTGTATTTTGGCCTATTTTACGCCGGGTTGTGCTATTTTTTCATATTTGAGGTCCCAGGCGTCAAAGGAAAGGCTAAGCACGAGTTTCGGGGCATTCGGAAGTCATTTCGTCGAGCTGGAGCCAGAACACAGGCACGCCTAAAACAGAACACGGCCGTGTTCTGTGGCCGTGTTTTTACTGCCGAGATCAAATTCGAGTTTGGCAAATATTGGCTAAAAACACGGGCAAGGCTTAGAGAAAGCACGGCTGTGGCCACCAAAGCACGGCCGTGTCCATCATGAAACACGCCCGTGTTTCCCCCAATGCACTGGCCGTGTAATTAACCCTAGCCAAAGCACGGGCGGGTTGAGGCATTACACGGCCGTGCCCTCGACCGTGCTTTGGCCACTGATGCCCTTTTAAGCAGATTTTCAGCCAAAGAGAAGGGGATTCGAGTTTTGAGAGAGATAGAGCGATTCCTAGAGAGAGAAAGTGACGAACAAGAGTCTCCAAGTGCCCTAGATTGATCTTCAACACCATTGGAGGCCAGTTTGAGCTTGGAGAAGTGCCGATCAACATCCAGGAGCAGGAATCCATCCTTCACAGTATGAATTCCGCGTCTGATTCTGCTTTTGCTTCTTTCTCCATGGAGTAGTTCTCCCATTCATCTGGGTATGGAGAACCCTAGATTTGTATGTTAGGCTTTGATTGTATGAACCCAAGTACTGATTCTATGATTTGATTATGTTCAATTGAGGTTTGAATGATTGAATGACTTGAATCCTGATCAAATTCCTGTTGTTTCTGCTTTAACCTAGAATGATAATATCTGCCTAGGTTGATAGAGCATCCTTGATTGAAGGTAGGGAGTTGGTGACTTTAGTCGAGGAGCCAACTCACTATTCTGTACCGGATTTACTCCGGTAGTGGAGGTTTTGTTTGTTAAGGCCTCAATCTGTTTACTCCGGTGGAGGTTAGTCGCCCGCTAGAGACTCAGATTGAGAGGGTCTGAAGACCTTTAGTCGAGACTTCAGGCTGTTTAAGAACCTTCCGCAGTATAACTATCATAGAAACTGAACTTGGTAATTACAATCCGGCTTAACTGCAGTCTAGGGGGAACCATATCCGGGTGACCTCTCTTAACCTGAAAACAACAGTTTACTTGCTTTGTTAGTTTGTTAGTTTAGACTTGCATTAAAGTTTCATTGCTAGATAACAAGAATTCACTGAGTAGTCATCAAATCTAGGACCCGGGTTGATAATTAAACCCAAACCCGCTATACTACCCTTTAGGAAGTGGTTTCACTTGGCCAATTCCTGGAGTGACAGTAGAAGTGAGTCAGTAGCGAAGAAGAAGATGAGGATGGAGAGGAAACAAGAGAAGAAAGCTACATGGCAATTGATGTTGAAGAGCCATCAGAAGGAGATAACTCAAACGAGGTAAAACCTTCCAACCATACTCATTTCAGTGACAGTGATTACTATAGTGATGATGATCTATTAGTATCCACTATCAAGGAAATTCAGTTAGAGTTTGGAAATGTCAAAGTAAAATACTCTGAACTGAAATCTGATCATGCCAAAATAAACATTGAATATGATAAACTAAAGAAGGAGGCGATCAGATTAAAAGAAGAGTTAGATGAAACTGCTAAGAAAGTTGAAGTTTTAGAAAATGAGAAATCGTGTCTCACGGCAAGACTTCAAGTATCATTAGAAGGGAATAAGATTGAATCTATGAAAAAGGAAGGTAAATCTTACCTAAATCAGTCCACAAAGGGACATGGTGAAAAATTAGGATCAAATTCATGTAGTAAAGGTAAGTCGAAATTTTTTGGAGAATCAATAAAGCATGAGAGGAATGGAACACAAAAACAAAGATATAGAAACATTGAATGTTTCTATTGTCATAAATTTGGGCACATTAGGCGAGTTTGCAGAAAGAGAATACAAAATGAAAACTATAGAACTTGTTTTACTTGTCATCAAGTCGGTCACATTAGTAGATTTTGTTCTCTTAAAGATCACAAACAAACTGTATCCAAGAAAGTCTGGATACAAAAACCCAAAATTGCATGACTGCTAATGGCGCAGGTTTGCTTCCAAGTGAGCATGGAGGCAACAGAATGGATACTAGACAGTGGATGCTCACAACACATGACGGGAAATCGAAACCTATTCACCACTCTCAAAGAAGGTAAAGGTGGTAAGGTATTTTTTGGTGACAATAATTCTGCCGACATAATAGGAAGAGGAATAGTTGGTTCAGATCCATGCATTGAAAATGTGATGTTAGTAAAAGGTCTTAAGCATAATCTGTTTTCTATTAGTCAAATGTGTGGCAAAGATAAGAGGATAATTTTTGAACATGATTGTTGCTACATCGAGTCTTTGGTGGATAAGAAAGTGCTTTTCACCGGTAGACGTAAAAATAAGTTATATGTCATAAATCTAGATGATAAAGAAAGTTTTAAGGTAACCTGTCTAATGTCTCTAGAGAAAAATGATCAGATAGATTGGCATAGGAAGCTTGGTCATGTGAGTATAGGAATTCTGTCTAAACTAAGTGACCTTAAGCTAGTTAAAGGTCTTCCTAAGTTAAAAAGCAAGAAGGAATTCTTTTGTGATGCGTGTGCTAAAGGAAAGCATACAAGGTCTAGCTTCAAGAGTAAGACGGTAATATCCACAACAAGACCTCTTGAATTACTTCATCTTGATCTCTTCGGATCCACCAATGTGGTAAGCTATGGAGGTAAGTCTTATGCTTTCGTGATAGTGGATGACTATTCTCGTTTCACTTGGGTATTGTTTCTAGCTAGCAAAAGTGAAGCTTTTCAAAATTTTGAGTCTCTAACTAGGAAATTGGAAAATGAAAAACAATCTAAGGTTGCTAGCATTAGAAGTGATCATGGTGGAGAATTTATCTCAGAAGAGTTTGAACTCTTCTGCAATAAGCTAGGGATAAGTCACAATTTTTCTGCTCCTCGAACTCCGCAACAAAATGGAGTGGTGGAAAGGAAAAATCGGACTTTGATTGACATAGCTCGAACAATGTTACATGACTATGGTTTACCTAAGTACTTCTGGGCTGAAGCCATAAATACTGCATGCTATATTACTAATCGAGCTTTGATCAGATCTGGAATTAAGAAGACTCCTTATGAGATTTGGAGAGGAAGAAAACCCAATCTGAGTTATTTTCATCCCTTTGGTTGCAAGTGCTTTGCATTAAATACCAAAGATCATCTTGGGAAGTTTGATGCCAAGTCCGATGAATGTGTGTTTTTAGGCTATTCTATGACTAGCAGAGCATATAGAATATTCAACAAAAGGACTCTCAAAGTGGAAGAGTCCATAAATGTGATATTTGATGAATCTGCTAATGAGTGTTCAGATGAGATAGATGAAGATGACTTTGGACTTGGTGGGAGCTTTGATCTACCAAGGACATCAAACACGGAGAAATCTGAACCCAGAACAAACATATCTGAAGACCAAGATAAAGCAGTAAGTACTACAAACTCTTCGATCGAGCAAGACCATGAAGTAAGACAACCTCCTCCTCATATTGCCAAACGCCATCCTTCTTCACTTATGATAGGAGGGCTTAATGAAGGTATGGTCACTCGCTCTAGAAATTCAATTGTGCATACTGCGTTTGGTTCATTGGTTGAACCTAAAAACGTGTTAGATGCCTTGAATGATGAAAACTGGAATGCTGCTATGAATGATGAAATGAGTCAGTTTGAACGAGCTAATGTGTGGGAGTTAGTACCTAGACCTCCTAATAGAGTTATTATCGGAACTAAGTGGATCTACAAGATCAAGTCAAATGAAAATGGGGTAGCTACTAGAAATAGGGCTAGGTTGGTAGCTAAAGGGTACAATCAAGAAGAAGGTATAGATTTCGATGAAACCTTTGCTCCGGTAGCTAGATTAGAGGCTATTAGAATGTTATGTGCGTTTGCTAGCTCTAAGAGTTTCAAACTTTTTCAAATGGACGTCAAAAGTGCCTTTCTAAATGGGGATTTAAAAGAGGAAGTGTATGTGGAACAACCACCCGGTTTTGAAGACTTTAGATACCCAAACCATGTCTATAAATTAAAGAAGGCACTATATGGACTTAAACAAGCACCAAGAGTATGGTATGAAAAACTTAGTTCTTTTCTCTTAGGAGAAGGTTTTAAAAGAGGCTCAGTGGATAAAACTCTCTTTATAAAAAATAAAGGACAACATATGCTACTAGTTCAAATATATGTTGATGACATTATATTTGGATCTTCTTGCAAAGAGTTGTGCGAGTATTTTGAAAGTATCATGAAGAAAACTTTTGAAATGAGTGCCATGGGAGAATTAACATATTTTTTAGGTTTGCAAATTAAACAAACAACTCGAGGTATTTTCATTAGTCAAACCAAGTACATTCAAAATATGTTAAAACGTTTTGAGTTTGGGAATTTAAAAACTGCAAATACACCTATGGCCTCTACAATTAAACTAGACAAGGATGAGTCGGGCAAGTCAATTGACGAGAAGTTCTATAGAGGAATGATTGGGTCGCTAATGTATCTCACTGCTAGTAGACCTGATATTCAATTCAGTGTGTGTCTATGTGCTAGATTTCAAAGTGCCCCTAAGGAAAGTCATCTGACTGCAGTCAAGAGAATCTTTCGTTACTTGGCTGGTACAATGGATCTAGGTCTGTGGTATGATAGTGAGTCAAGTCTTGAGTTAATTGGTTATAGTGACTCAGACTATGCGGGATGCATAGTTGATCGTAAAAGTACTTCCGGGACTTGTCAATTTCTAGGAAATTCACTTGTGTCTTGGTTTAGTAAGAAACAAAGTTCTATTGCTCTCTCCACCGCTGAGGCTGAATACGTGGCCGCAGGCCTCTGTTGTACTCAACTCCTTTGGATGAAGCATTAACTTTGTGACTATGGGTTAGAAATAAAGTCCATGCCCGTATTGTGTGACAATACGAGTGCCATTAACATGGCAAGAAATCCCGTGCAACATTCTCGAACCAAGCACATAGAAATTAGGTATCATTTCATTCGAGAATTGATTGAAGAAGGCCAAATTCAGCTTGAGTTTGTGCCTACAACAAATCAATGGGCAGATATTTTTACTAAACCTCTAAGTGTTGATCAATTTCTAACCATTCGTCGAGAACTTGGACTAATCCTTTCTAGTGAGATTAATGAATTAAAGTAAAATCATCTTGTGTTGAGATTCCAAAAATGAGCTAACTGCTTGAACTTAAAATAAAATTAAACTACTTCTCTTTGGGTAGGCTCATCCTCTCGGCCTGGGAATGATCTTGTGGGCCGAAGCCCACGTACCTCCCTGTCATGGTGGAGACGCTCACTAGGGTTTGTGGGCCTAAGCCCACTCTCATCCCTAGCTCTCTTCTGCAAGTGCCCCTCACAAGAAATCGCGGGCCGAAGCCCAAATCCTTCCTCTCGCTCTCTTCGCCGGTCCAAGCCGCCGCTCCGACTCCGTCCTCGGGCGTGCGATTCTGGGAAAGTAAAGGTTCCCCAATATCCATTCTCTGCTGTCAAGAAATCCCGATCGAATCCCTCCCTTCTGTTCGATCGACTTCTTTCCAAAACCTTCCTCTTAGATTGTATATCTGCTAGTAGAGGGTGCAGTAGAATGGAATACCTTCCTCAAATGAGCTGATTTGATTTTCTCCCAGCTCTAAATACTTTCCCTTGCTTGATTCAAAGATTGTGATTAACCTCGACCTTCCATCTTCTCCCCTCAACATCTTCTCTTGCACCATCGACAAATGGAAAGACAAATCTTCCGCCAGCAGATGCAGCAGTATCACTGCATCAGAACTCAATATTCCAGTCGAGCAGATACGACCTTCCCCTTCCCGAAAACGTTCCAAAACGTGTTCTCGCCCAGCCAGTATAAAAAAACCAGTCTCGGTCATGGGAATCTTCATCCCCGCCTCCAAATCAAAATACGCCTCCCTCAGCCTCACCATCGAAAAGCAGCAACCCTTCCCTCTGTCGCATCATGGCACTGAGCAATCCCCAGCTCACTGTGAACCTTGCACCTGCTGCAATCTTCACGAATCGGGGATTGCGCAACTCAGAAGCCTACTCCAAGTATCTGCGTAGCTTCTGTGATCGCCCCCTTCATCCCGCATTCATCATCCCTCCTACCACATTCAATCGGTATGGATTGAGGGTCAATGGGTACATCAATGATCTTGGGTGGAGCTCTCTGCTTCAAAATCGGATTCTTGATCAGTGTCCTGAAGCTGTGAGAATGTTCTATGCAAGTATGCAGTGCGGTCCTGGACGCTACCCGTCGTTCTTCACCACCACCGTCTACAATTTCAGCGTGACAATCACTGCCGATGTGCTGGCCACTCTCCTGCATCTTCCTCACGACGGCTACATTGCTGGAACGACAGAAGATTTTGACAGCTATGGGTTCCATCCCATAGATACTATGTCGTATCTAGCTCGTGATTATGGGAAGCACCTATTCTCCATGTTCTCAGTTGAGCGCATTCCCGATGAGCTGAAAGCCCTGCATTTCTACATCACTCGTCTGTTCCTTCCGTGGGACGCTGCCACGGCCTCAACTCTCGACGAGTCCGACTTGTGGATTCTGTTTAATGCCAAAACCAGCTGCCCGATCAGTTACGCAGCTCTCATGTTTAATCACATGATTAAATATCGAGAAGAAGAATGCAGCGGGAAGCTGCCTTTTGGTCCGCAGATTACCTCACTGTTGTCCATCTTAGGTGTTGATCTGCGCGGGAAACTCTTCACCCGCGAAGTTCATTCTGATCTCCAGGCTCAGCACATTCCGCGTCGCACATTTTCGTCGCTTGGACCTAAACGGCTTGTCAATGTTCAAGGGTGAGAGCAACCTGCTGCTGCTCAGACTGAATCAGATTCTGACACTGACTACAAGGGTGCAATGATACCTGTGAAGCTCGACAAAGGAAAAGAAAAGGCAGAATCATCTGGAACACGCAAGAGGGCTTTGGACTTGGGACACCTCAAGGAAGGAATTAAACTGGAGAAGGAAGGGAAAAGGTTACTTCAGGATCTGACCCTGTCCTTGAAAGGGAAAGAGGCTGGTTCCTCTGGCAAGAAGATCAACAAGGTCAACAAGGTCTTGTTCGTATCGTCAGAAGATGAGGAAAGCGATCCATCTGAGTATGTGTCTTCTACGGAGTACACCTACTAGGGAGTCTATCGACTAACTATCTTAGGGGGAGATCCATGAGTGTCGTTGTTGTCGGTTCATGAAGTCTGGTCTGGTTGTCGGGTTATTTAAGTCGGGTCTTGATGCTAGTAGGAAGGCTGGTTAAGTTTCTTAAATAAGACTTTTTGAAGTCCAGTGTCTTGAGTCAATTAAGTTTCTGTTAGATTCAGTATGTTTATCTTAGCTACTATGAATAAAATGGGCTCTCATTATTATGATTTGAATTCAGAACTCTTACTGTTGTGATTAGAAAATGGGACAGGCTGCACCAACAGTTTGTTCAGTGTGCAGAATCTGAATGTGAGCAGGTTAGGAGTGAACCTTGACAAGTTTAGGGGGAGATGCTTGGCCATTAACAAGCTGAGGGGGAGAATGTTGACTGAAGCAGCTTGAAGGCCAAGACAAAGAATCAAATCACAACTGGAAATAAGGTGGCTGCCCAAAAACAGTTAAGGCAAGTTTTCGAGTCAAAAGAAGAAAGAATAAGAACTTGCCATACTTGAAGATTTCAAGGGAATTCAAATTCACAACAGCTACATTACAGCCTATAAAAGGCGATTTGAAGGAAGAGCAAAACCAACCTTTCAAGTGATCAACATAGCTAGCCAAGACAAAAGGGGATTTTGTGAGAGTAGCAAGGTTGATAGGAAAGGGGGTTTTCTCAAAGGGTTCGGGGAGAACTGCTTTGAGGGTTAGTGTTGGGGAAACACTGGTTTCGAGTTGCTGGGGAAGCAATTCGGGTTTGAGAAAAGAGAGTTAGATCAATCAGGTAGAGATTGATCAAAGGGATCTTGGGTAGATTGCTTGTAACGAAGAAAGTCAACGCAAAATCATAGTGAATCGTCAGAGATCACACAATCGTGATTCTCTGACCGTGGAGTAGTCAGTATTGGGATCCTCATTCTCCCAATACTGGAAACCATGTAAAAATCGTGTGTTGGGGTTGTTTTCTGTTTTTCATTTTCGATCTGTGTGTGTGCCTCTGCCTGCTTTCTGTTATAGGTCTAACGCTACAGGGAAACTCGGTTCTTGAGCCACAGGGAAGGCGACAAGCCTGGGCTGGGTTGAGGAACTCTCCGCACCAGGGTTTGGTCTACCTGAGTTTTCATTACCTGGGTTTATGTTGCTGTTCGTTTAATCTATTCTTGGTGTTCTTAGTCTAAATTGAGTTACTGGTCTGCCTTTGATCGAATAAGAGAGAAGGGAAATTGGTCTGTGTGTGAGGTGATCAGTACTCACCATTTCACTTGTCTTCTCTGGTTGGGTCGGGCTTAAACTTTATAGTAGGATCTGTGGACTATAAGTTCTCAAAGCCTGTTAGATTAGTAAGCCCGAGTGCTTGTCTGTGTTGAGAAAAGGCCCATTGTTCTGAGTGTTTGATTTTATCAAAACTCAGTCGTTCTGTTCTGTCTCTTTGATTCAGGGTAGGGAATTGAAACCGTGGGCTGGGCTTCCGGGAAAATAACATTAATTTGAGTATTTGGGCTTATAAGCCCATTCGGCTGGACGGAAGATTCAGAGGATTGATCTCCAATTATTTGTCTAAGTGAGGTTTATACTTGAAGTTATTTGCTTAGCCGAGTAGTTTAGAGTTTTGTGTAGAGGTTAGGCAATATACATAATTAGATCATGGTTTACGAGATAAGAAGCACTAGGTACTTAACGTGCTAGATTAAACATTAATTCTGTCTCTTATCTTCATGTGTCTAACATTATCATTGAGCTTAAATTGTGGTCAAGTTATTTAGAAGACAGGTATAAAGTCTCGCGCTCGACGCTATCAACACTTTATTCTTGTCCGGGGCATTAAACCCTCGGACATTCCAAGTAAGGATTTTCATCTTTTCTTACCAGGTCTCCCACCTTTACGAGGGAGAATTGGTGCATTGCGAGGAGTAGCCTATTTCTGCTTAGCACTTCCCACCACAATCCAAGGATTTGGCTCCTTCACTTGAGCCTCAGGGGATGACTGAGATACAGCTCTCTCCGACTCTGGCTGTTGTTGCATCTAACTGGGACTGCCAACTTGAGCTGATGAACCGATCACAACATCAACAAACCGAACAGTCGCGTTTCCAACCAACTGGGAGCCAAGTACTTCATGTTCACCCGTAACCACTTCTTTTCCCTTTGAGACTACATTCCCACCAGTAGCACCCTCAGTCACTTCAGCATGGGACTCCACAGAAACCTCAGAAACCACTTGTGCATCTACCTTCTCACTGACCAGATTCGTAGAGACAGAGGAAGCCCCTTGTTCACCTTTGACAACCCACTTCTTAGTACTGTTAGCCAGAATTGAACAATCATGTCCATAAACCTGGCAGCTAGGGCACACCCTAGGAAGATTCAAATACTCAACAGAGACCTCAAAACCTGGATCATCATCTGGATAGAGCCGGACCTTAGAAGGGAAACCACAGTCTGCTGAAAGATCCACACAGACCTTTGCGAATCCCAGTTGACTCCCCATCCTAGTAGCCTTATCCATCCAGAGCGGGGGACCTAAGGTACTGGCAATCCATTCCAGACCATCAATTGAGTGATACTCCAGCGGGATCCCCCCAAGTGTAACCTAGATAGGGAGCGATTCAACCAGCGGAGTCACCGGCTGAATGCCTGGAGTCCACTTCCGAAGATACAGCTGATTACCTTGATAGTGCCAAGGCCCCGACCTGAAAACCCACTTACTCGATGACGAAGAAGGGAATTGAAAGACAAACATTCGAGACCCAAATCGCGAGACGCAAACAGCTCCATCTCTCCCCCAAAGGCAATCACGCCAGCGCTCTTCCCCTTTCTTCTTCACCTCATGCGGAATTCGAAACCCGTCGTTCACCCGTTCCGGAGAGCGAAATTTCATCCGATTCTCCTGAGGGACCTCGAACAGTTATGCCCAAGTACTCCCCCCAGGTCCCTTGCCCGTCGTCGGAGCAGATTCCGATGACGAGGCCGCCATCGAAAACCCTAGGGCGGTTCAGAGAAAAAAGGATTTAAATATTTCCAGTGACCAAACGTGAACATATTTTGTAATCTCAGTGACCAACCATGCAATTAACCCGTGTTAGTTATCTAAAATAAAAAATGAACCCAAAATAAGAAAGTATAAAAGTAAACAATGGCCCAACTACGGACCCAAAGCCAAATTAGGCCGATGATTCCTAGGCCTACTAAGCGAGTCCATTGCTTGCTACCTTCTTCCCCAAATCAAAAAGCTTCTCGATCCCCTCTCTGAACTAACCTCGCCGAATATCCAAGCTCCAATCCCTACGGTCAACACCCCTTTCCTTCCTCGTCAACAAATTCCTCCTCTTCTCCATACAACCTTCTCTTCTTTTGGAACTTAAACAAGATTCATTGATAATTCCCCAAAAACTTATGTAACTCATCCTGTGATTGAATTGCGACTTCGTTCAACGGCCGCCGACCAATATCCTCCTCCAGTTCAAGATCATCCTGATCAACAAGTCTCTTTCAGATGTAGATCCAGCCTCTTTCTAGCTTCTTCCATCAATCCCAGCCTACGATTCCATCTCCTTCACCAACTCAATAGTTACCATCACCGAAAATAACTCCTCATCTCTTCCGCTCTGTCTCATTAGAATATATATGCGATTTTTACTTCAAAAGTCGCGCTCCAACAACTAATAAGTCGTGATTTACTTCAAAAGTCACGCTCCAGGACAGTAGCAGAGTACAAGGCGGAGTTTTTCAAGCTAGGCAATCAATGCAAGGGAGTGCCGGAGGAGACCCTGGTTGGGTTGTGCATGGCTGGCCCAAAGCCAGAGATAGCCGCGGCGGTTAAGGTTTTCGAACCAGACTCGCTGCGGTCTGCTTTTCGTCTTGCGGGTTATAAAGAAGAGGAGCTGGCCAGCTGGAGGAGTACGATTGGGCGATTCCCGAAAGCAGGCGGAAGTGAAGGAGGTGGCATCGGGTCGGGCGGCAGTGGGGCGAATGCGCCCATCGGCCCAGGGCCATCGACAGCTGGCGCTGTCACCTCAACTCGGCAAGCTCCTAGGCCACCCCCGAAAGGATTCGTGAGACTACCACCACAGGAGATTGAGCAGAAGAGGAGAGAGGGAAAGTGTTTCAACTGTGACGAGAGGTTCACCGTGGGACACAAGTGCGCCAAGCCCGATTTGATGATGTTGGTGGGTCGCTGGGAAGATGAGGCAGAGGAGGAAGCAGCTGAAGAAGGACCGCCGGAATTGGAGTAGGACCCACAACCTTGAGGGCAAGGTTATTTTCCAAGAAGGCTGGGATGTTAGAAACACATTAATTGCAGTTTTGGGTATTTCGTATTATTCGTCGGTTTTTTATAATTGGGGGATTATTTAGGGAATTCGGAAAATAAACACGAGTCGATTGTTATGTTTTATTAGTTGAGTAGGAGATAGAAATCATGCGGCCTATATAATTTGTAATTAGTGGGATTATTTTCATTAGGCAATTACAGAACAAATTACCCAACCCTAATCTCCTCTCTCTCTTCCCTCTCCCACGTCTTCTTCTTCTCCTTTCCCTGCCAAGGCTGCCGCAGCAGCCACCCTCTCCCAACCTTCCTTGATTCTTCAATTCTTCTCACCTAATTCCCTAGCCTGGTCATTTTCTCAGTGACCTAGCCAATTTCCCAATCCTATTAATCGTTAGAAACCTGGTTTCTAACACATGCACATAGCCGATGTGTTGCATTTGGAAACACATTAGCAATAGCTTTCCTCATTGCTTTATCCCCATCCATGAAAACTGTACGTAGAGGAATGTCCCCCAACATTTCCTTCACTATCTTCAATGCCCAAATATAGGTTTCGTCAGTCTCATTAGGCAATAGTGCACTCCCGAATAAGCAAGTTTTGAAGTGATGGTTGATACCTACAATGTCAAACAGAAACTCGGTAAATCAGAATCTTTTGAACCAGCAAGAGAAAAGCTAAAATAGTGAGGAATATGTAAACAATGGTAGAGTTCATATAATCAGAAACTTGTGTTACTTTTGTTTAATGTTTTCGAACCCCATGTTCAAGACATTTTATGATAAAATCAGAAATTAGTATTTGTTGTTTATTGCTGGATAGGAATTAGGAATTAGGAATAGCTAGCAGCCTTCACAATCCTCGAACCAAAAAAGAAGCGAATCATAAGTAAAAGGGGAAGGCTCAAAACCCACACATTGCAAAAGTTATTCGATGTTTGTATCTTAATTAGCAATTTATGCTGATGTTTTCTAGATGCCATTATGGGTCTTCAAACAACAAAGCAAAGGCTAATACTTAGAGGGCATACTAGGATGGCGTACCTGTGAAAATGACCAGTGGCATATTGTAAATGTTTTTTTGGTACGTTGTGTAAAATGTGAGCAACTCTCCAAAACACGAAATGTCGGCTCTGCAAATGCTGTCAGCCCAAAATAAAAAATGGAGCCTTTTTTCTCATCAGTAGTGTATCGGAGGAGGAAGTGTCGGTCGGTGCTTTTCTTTGATTCTAGATAGGCGAGTGTAGTTGTTGCATCACCCTCGCTGATTCTCTCAGCGTGGTCTTTGGTTATGAAATTTAACCCATCTTTAATTGTATACCCAAGTTTATCATGCCCTCCAGCAAAATGTATAGCAAGCTTAATGGCCTGAGAAGGTTTCATTCCAGCATCCTTTTTAAATCGGAGGTCTGCCTTGTCTGCTTCTGTTAATCCTCGATGCGACCTTAAGTAATGTACTTGGTTCTGCTTAACTGGGTCATGAGTGTGCTGTGGTTTAAATATATCAGTAACCCACTTATTTTTTTTCTTGTTCAAGCTCACACGAAACATAGCCATGCACTTAAATATGATCTCCATAGGCGAATCCCTCTTTTGTGGACCTTTATGTGGTTCTCTAACTCCCTGACAGGAACAAACGAAGGCTGCACTTGTTACCTCTCCCTTGACGTTCTTAACCTTCCTTGAGCGACGGACAGAAAACCCCCAACTCTTATCATAGTTGTTGTAGAACAAATATGCATCCTTAAAATCATTGAATTCCTGACTGATAAAAGGAGAATTCTGAATAACGTTTGTGGCATCCCTCTGTACAGTAGGGCCATCATAGTCAGGGGTCATTGTTTCTGGTAAGATTTCCACATCGTTGTCTTCGTTGATGTTGTTGATATTATCTCCCTCTTCCTCCATTGGTGTGCCATGTTTTGCTGTTTGTGGGGAGGGGCTGAATCGGGAGCAACGCAATAGAGTTTTTTTTATTATGTTTTGTGAATATACAGAAGGCTTGAGTTAAAACTTGTTAACCTAATTTTTTTCACGCTGACGTGTTATTAGTTTTTTCTATTGTTTCCCGTCACGGTGTTCAGTTTTTTTATATTTTAGTACTTTCTATTGTTTTCCGTTATGGTTATTAGTTGGGTAAAGCATGCAACTAATAAAGAATGCTTGCGTGTTATATATGGATTGTTAGATTCATCTTCCAAATAGGTGATTGCTTTTGTTTCCATGTTAATTATTAACCGTATACAATATTATTTTCCTTTTCCATGTGGAGGTTAATGAGGAAGATAAAGTTTACAGTACCCTTACAGAGAAAAACACTCAACAGTTGGCCGCAATACAGGAGCTCGGACAAGGGGCAGAAACCAGCAATATGTAGAACGATAAGGACGGCCGGATGATGACCAAACGCAAGACCAGAAGTTCTTCCAAATTAATGGTTCGTCAGTTTGCATCTTCCCCCCCCCCCCCCCTTTCTCAATCGTTGGCAGATTATTCTTCCAATACTAAATAACGCATTGTGTTTTTATTAAGATGAATTCTTTGCTGGAGAAGGATGTATCTCGAGGAAAGAAAGGTAGAACTGAAGATGGTGTGATCCAGATTGATGGTGATTTGCATGTAGATTGGAATGACTTAGTTTGGAAAGGCCATACAAGATTTTCTTACTTACAATTCGCCAAGAAGGTATGATAATCTAGCCCACCAATATTTCCTGCTTAGAACAGAATCAATTTTTTGTATCCTTATGTTTCGTCTTCTATGGTAGGGTGAAACAAAGTTTACGCTTCCAACACATCTCAAGTACACTAGAGAGGAAGTGAACCTTGCCCACTACATATTTGCGAAGGATCTTCCACTAAAGGAAGTCCTGGTCGAAACCATGATGCAATCCTATGCACGAAAGGTGTTGTGGTCTCTCTGCCCTAAGTCTAATGTCGATGATGATGTAATTACAATAATGGATTGCCAATTGAGCCTGGAGAAAGTTTGGAGGGATGTTGGAGATGGAAGAGTGGTCTGTTATCTGCCTGCTGAACTACAAGTATAGTCCCATTTACTTTGTATATTTATTTTAGTTGCAATATTACGTTTGTATTATTAAATAGGATGAATATTTTATCTTCTATTTTAACTGAACCATGATCAGGAAATGGTAATTAACTATGACATGACATCAAAAAAGCTCTAGAGTGTTATGGTGCAAAGTTCTTGGCAAAAGCTCACACGTGCAGAAAGGTTTTTTCTTAACAATTCCTTTCTTGTTTCATTGAAATTTCCCTCATTAACTGTTTCTAGCTACTGTTGAATTAGCATATGTGAATAAATTAGATGTTCCATCAAGCTTTTTGATCTTTCTGTAAATCGTATTTTACATATGCTCATCTGAGTTTGGTATTTCTCGTCGTTATTTAGGTGTGTCTGCCCATGAAAGATGCAATGGACGGTGATGCAGGTCATTGGTATTTAGCTGTCACCATGCTGGACGACAAACAAGTCCATCTATTGGATTCGTATCCTTCTAGAAAGCGCCAAAGATCTCGTAGAAAAGTAGTAGTAACTATGGTATGGTTTGATGATAGACCATTGATTGCACATGTTTTTACCCCTATTCTGGAGCCGTTTGATATATTGATTCTCGTGTTTTAAGCCTATTTCATGCTAGGTTGTGTGTTTATGTCATATTTTAGGGCCTGGCGTTGGCACCGCCATGCATGTTATTTCTCACCAGGTGCACGAGCATGTTGTGTATCCTTCTGTGCCTCTCGTTTTGCAGGATCCCCCTATCACTCCTTCCCCGCCACTCCCTTCAACCTCACCGCCAAACAAAAAGATCAAGGAGGAGTGGCGGCCGAAGCCACAGGTGGCTAAGCGTGCTCGGAAGAAAGGTGGCGACCACTATGAGTTGGTCCCACCTCCTGCTCCACGACCACCCTGGACATCCGAGTACTCACTCGCTTGCATCCTGCCGGATGGCCAGGTCGAGCTGACAAATGCTGGTGGTTGCACCCGTCGGGTGCATGGCTACGGGGGGGCCCCTTCTGTGTTATGGGGGGGGGGCAAAAGGGCAAAGCCCCGACCGGGTATTTTTGGTTCAAGGCCGGGGATTTCCCAGCCTCTGCGTTTCCAAACCCCCGACCTTGACCCAAAAATACCCGACCGGGTATTTTTTGCTCAAGGTCGGGGATTTCCAAACACTCGAAACGTGGCGTTTCCAAAACCCCCGACCGGGTATTTTTGAGGCCCGGTCGGGTATTTTTGCTATTTAAGCAAACCCCCGGTCGCCTCTCTCTCTCTCCTCTCATTTTTTTCTAAAATTTCCCCTCTCTCCCTCTCAAATCCTCTGCCCTCTCTCCTCTCATTTTTTTCTAAAATTTCCCCTCTCTCCCTCTCAAATCCTCTGCCCTCTCTCCTCTCTTGGTCGCCGGCGACAGCCCTCATCCGCCACCGGCCGCCACCTCCGTCGCCGGCCAATTTTCAGGCGACCGTCCGGCTGTTTTCCGGCGAGCTTCCCGGGTCATTTTTGGCTCAGTTTCACGTCCCTCACCCATCTCTTCGCGTCTCGTCTACAGGTCTACTTGAGTTTCCAGGTGTGTTTCTCGTTAGCTGTTCTTTTTCTGGAAAATCGAACTGTAGATTTTAGGACCGAGAACTGTGTTTGCCTGGCATGCTTGAATTAGAATAGGGTGAGGGATGCCTTGAGTATGAATGGCTATGGCTAGGGGTGTTCAAACGGTTTGGTTACCGTGGTAACCATTTTAACCGGTACTATTTGGATAATTTGGTTTGGTTAATTTGGATAATTGGTTTGGTTTGGTTAAAGTTTTTAGCTTGTTTGGTTTAGGTGGTTTGGTTTGGTTTCAGACACTCCTAACTAGTCAAACCAAATTAACAGTTAATTAATTAATCATATATCTAACATATATTATATACACATACTTAATACTTTGCATAACCACTCAAGAGTCAACGTTCATCCCTTTTAGACTCATATAAAATATAAAGCTCAATATTGCTCATATAGTGTATATTTGTATATGTAAAGTGTAGACCACAACATATGGACGCCTAATTTAGATAAATTTCATACATTATGATGGATGAAAACTTGAAAGGAAGGTCATTTCCAGCCTATGATAATTGCTAAGAGACTAAGTCAATTTACACAAACACAACAATTCATTAACCCATACCATTTTCATAAATTTTTGTTAGGTGAATACTTCTATACTAATCGTAAGATAATTGTCTTAGTTGCATGTACTTTTGTTAAGTGTCAACTATAACTACGTGCTGATTGTTATGTTTTATTCATTATATAAATTGCGAATTGTTGTATTAACCGAAAAATTTTCATCATCAATGATAATGTGATTTTATATTGGTTAATTGATGACTCGATATTTGCACATGTTTTCCCCTTTGTTTCTTGATCGTTTGAGCTTTAATTATCGCTTCTTTGGACTATTTTACGCTAGGTTGTGTTCCTTTGTCACATTTCAGGCCCTAGCACATAAAGTGAAGCGTAGGCGCAAGTTTCAAGTCAATCGGAGATCAATTGGCGATTAGGGAGAAGAAACACGAGCATGACCTGAAGAAGAATGGATTTCTACCTCACTTTATGGATAAAGAATCATGAAAGTTTGTTATTAAAAGAAAGAGGACGAGACTACGAGTGTCTGGGTTCAAACGGCGACTGATTCGGAGTCCGGACGAGGGAGAAACGAAGCTTTGAACAGGGGTGGAGGAAGAATTACGGGCAGGAGAATTACGACCGTAATTTCCCCTCCCATGCCCGTAATTTCACTGCCGAGAGGAGCTTTGGGTGCGCTGAAACTTAACCAAAACGCGTGTTTTGGGCAAAATACGGGCATGGAAGAATTACGACCGTAATTCAGCCCGTAATTCGCCCAGAATCGGGTTTTTTAGGCCAATTTCGCGCCAAGGGAGAGGGAGAGCTGGGTTTTTGGTTCCCAAACACCCAAGGGACAAACCCTAGAGAGAGAGAGCGACTTGGGAACATTCTTGGAGCTATTTTGGGGGATTTCTTCGCCATTGGAGCTCGGGAATCAAGCTTGGAGATGGAGATTGAAGATCTAGATCAGATTTCTGCAGTCTCTCTCTTCTCTATGGAGTAACTTCCCTTCACTTAGGTTTTGAGGAACCCTAGTTCCATGAGTTAGGATCTTTCTTGTATGAAGTTTTGGATGCTATATTGTTTGATTATAATCGAATGATGCATGTTTATTGAGTCAATTGAAGCCTGATCAACTTTTCCTGATTTCTGCTGCAACATGAGATAGATAGAATCTGATTAGGTTGTTAGAGCCTCATAATTCAGTAGTAGGAGATTGGCTATACGAGAGTTAGCCAGTTTAATGCTTTGTACTGGAATCCAATTCCAGTAGTGGAGTTCTGTGCTTATTGCTTCAGCTTTCTATCCCGGTGAAGACTAGTCATCTGCCGGATAGTTAGACTGAGAGGGCTTGGTCAGCTTAAAAGATTCCAAGCTACTGTCGGATCTTCCGCAGTTTAATCAACAGTAAAACAACCAAAAGGAATTACAACTTGGACCTAATTGAGGAGCTAGGGGGAATCATACCTAAGTGAGTTCACAACTTGTAATTAGTAGAGTAGTTAGTAGAGTAGTTTATAAATCAATCCTTAATCTAGTTTGCTAGATAATGAACTGAAGTTGAGTAATAGTAACTCTAGAGACCCGTGGATTTGATATTTATTACTTGTGCCACTATACTGCAGTCCCTTTCATTGGTTACACTTGGCCATT